GCCATGGGAGTACCATTGTGACTATGCACTCTGCTGTTTCCTCAGGAAAATACAGTTCTGTTACAAAGACTGCATCAACATTCCTGTATTTTGGGTGCTTCAGGAACTGATATTTCTCCACACTGGGTTTTATGCTGATTTCTGTTTCTGATGGCTATAGAATTACAGCATGCTAAAGGTATTGGATTGGAGGTAATTTCCAAAGAATACCTCCATTGCAGTGCCGTAACAAGACAACCTGGTTCTCTTCCATCCTCTTCTGCTCCGCAGACTCTATGATGTATTTCAGTGCTGCTTATCCTCTTGGTCTTCTACTTTCTATTTACACTAGCTGCAAACAAATATATCTTTTTTTTTTCCTGTACTTTTATTAATTTCACAGTAAAACTTCACAAGTATCATTCATATTTTTCAGCACCTTTTCATATTACCTTCTGGTTTTCTTCTTGTTTTTAAGAGAATCATCGAGCTTTCTGTCATTTGGCTTGAAAGGAAGACTTCTGTTACATTTGGAGTTACATTCTGAAATTCTTTTCATTACAAAAGTGCATTATCTGTTTAAACTTGTTCATTAAAACAGGAAAATTGCATACTAAAATAGCATTAGTGTACTTATGGAGTATTTCACTTCTTGCGGGTTTCTTTGAGAGGACTTGAGGATCCTGAGTCAATCAAGCCACCTTTTTTGTTTTTTTTTTTCTTCGTTTTTGATCTTTGCTACAATTCAAGTAGGTACTTGATCTGATTGTAAAAAAATTGGTGATATTATTTACTGACAATGATTAGCAAGTCCACTGATCCACTTTCATCTTGCACATTGAAAACTGCTTCAGCTATAAAACTGTTAAGTCATCTGCCATGTAAATTAATCATCTTTTACTACAGATTAAGAATTTGGAGACCAGGAATATATTGTGACATGTATTTGCAAATATGCATTCATTCACGAAAAGCATAATGAATAAAAAAGATGTTCATCCCCCCAAAGTGTACAATTCTTTTCAGAAGAACCAGTAATGGTAGAGCAGGGATAGCTAGTATTATCCTCTTGGCCGTTTGTAAATGGCGATTTTTTTGGTATCTCACTTTCCCTTGGCATCCTGCCTTACATGATTTTTATTACTGAAATGCATTTCGGTATTCTTGAAGAAAAGGGTACTATATGAAGGCGTGTAGATAAAGGCTTTAATACAATGTGCTTAAGTAAAAATATTTGAACTTTGAACAAATTGAGTCATAGGCCTGAAGTAACATTGGTAGATATGAGGTGCAGCTGAGATGACACAGAAATGTATCAAGCATCACACCAATACAGTGATAGTCCAGGCACTTAAAAAAAAAAAAAAAAAAGTGCTAATAATTGTTCTTACCCTTGTTCTTTCAGTCACTTTGGTTAAATTACATAGTATTTTTCTACTTAAAATGACAGATGTCAAGATAGTCCCTCGCATGCTTTGCTCTGATGATGCAGCAAAACCCATACCCAGGTTTTATGCAGCTCTGAGTATTATTACATTTGTGATGTGAGAAAATTTCACCTTCTTCTCTCCACAACGATCAGTAGAAGGTGTGCAGAGGAAGGAGCTTCTTTTTGCTCAAGAAAACTTCAGAGAAGTCACAGGCAATGAATGAGCCAAATTTTCAGAGGGCTCTGTGGAAAAGGTTGCAGAGTATCGAAATCTGGATGAATCCTTGTCACTCTACTTCTAGCTTTTGTTTTTCTGACCCTCACCTACCTTTGGTATTTAAGTTGCTACTACTGTTTCTGTGAATTTCTGTTTTTGGGGCCCATTCTGCTTAGCACCAGTAGGATGCTAATGGTAGAGCTGAATGTAAAGGGGGTTCCCAATACAGGGTGAAACTGTAGAAGTGCAGGGGTCTGACTGCAGACAAAAATCCATTGTTGCACAGAAACATACAGCAAGGATACTAAAAACCCTTTAAGCATTCTGCAAAATGTTAAGTGCTTGGCAAATATCCTTAGTATTTCTTTATAACAAACTGGGGTGGAGGGGAGGGGATGGGATGGGATGGGCAGAAGAAGAGGTAGACTATAAATAGCTCCCCAAACAAGTAAGAAAACTAGACAGTGAGTGAATTACCATGAAGCCAGGTGCTACAGTGATGTAATCAGCATCTGCTGTTTTTAAAAATTTGTTTATCCTGTTTTCTGGTTAGGGAAGTCATGAGTGGTGGTGGAATTCTGGTATTAGAAATGTTACCGGCTGCTCATTTCTTTCTATTTCCCTCCCTTAAAATCTATTGCAGGCCTTTATAGGAAGATTTGTGAAACTCTCAGAGAGCAGATTTATTGTTGGGGCAAAAGTGTTTGTGGCTGCACAAATCGGTTGGCAGTAGGCTGTTGCCCAAGGGAGGGGAAGAGCTATGCAATACACAACCCATTGAAAACCACCCCAGTGGAGGCTACAAGAGAGCTTTTTTAGAATTTGCAGCCAGATTTGTGGGCTTTGCAGCAGCAAAGAAGTGGTTGTTGACTCACAGGAGATAATGATGCCTTTACTAAGACTATTTACATATTTGTGTGTGTGTGAATGAACAAAACTATAGACAATCATGAGATAGTAACAAAACTGAATGTTCCACGTGGTGAAGTGTGATAGCTGTCATTGTATCTTTGCAGTTTGTTGTAGGTTGGACAGTACATATAAGTGTCAAGAAAAATGCCTGATACTTCAAAGGGGAACTGTGCAAGGCCTCTCTGTAGGGTATTTGTGGGAAATTCTTAGATCATTGAAATCTATCCATTTGCTTGGCTTCACAAGAGAGAAAGCTGTTATCACTTGTTTTAGCCAGGGTAATAATGAGAAGAAAAAACTGCATTTAGTGTTACCTTGTGAGTGTGATGCTCTTTGTGTCTGAATGTGCCCTGTTGAGTCCTGAGCGGCTTTAAACCAGTGGGAATTTCAGTCTCACAGTTGATTGTCTTGAAGTGACTTATTTGAAATAAGTATGGATTACAAAGAACACTTCACATATCCTGGGGAAAAATTACAGGTTTTCAGTTTAATAGGGGGAGGGGGTTTATGATATCTACACGTTCCCTTTAAGAAAAGCTACAGAGTTGTAAATTTCCATCTGATGAATAACACACTGAAGAAGTATCTAAGTCATAGTATGTAAATTACCAGTTCATTAATATAAGTAAATAAAATATTCCATGATGAAAGATTTCACAATTTCATTTCTTTTGGATATTAGGGAAACAAAACAGTGTCATCACCCTGTCTGTCATGGATGTGCCTCACACCTATGATCTCTTGTCCATGGTGCAATGTCTTGCCCAAATTACAGTGCTAAACATCAGAAACACCAAATTTGTTTTCTTCAGAAAACTGTTAGGAACACAGGAAAATCTTTATAAAACATGTATTACTACAGAGAGGTACTAGAGTTCTAGACAAACTTAACTTGAAAAAGAAAAAAGATTATCAGCCCAACAGCACCTTTTTTTAAGAGACTGTATATTTCACAATGCAAATAGATTTCAAAAGTTAGCATTTAGAAACAAGGATAATTGTAGATTGTATGGTGCCTGTAAGAAATTCTTTTACTGTGTAATTTGCATGTTAGTTGCTCCAGCTTCTTATGTTGTATTGAACAGGATCCTTTAGAGGAATAGATACAGAATCCAAAACAAGTTGGAGCTACAGCAGTTAGAGTGAAAGCCACTGCTGTAGCTTATCAAGAGTTTACATTTCATAATTTTCATTTGGCAGATTGATTTGTCATCGAAGGTGTTGTTCTATCTCTTATTAGACTTGAGGTCGCATACTGATATCTGTTTGCCTACACAGTAGCATTACAGTATTTTTTAAAAATAAATCCATCTTTGGAAGAAGTACAACTTTCTTGGGCTTAGTGAAAAGATAGCTTTTTAAATAAAATCTTTCAATATTTCTGGTGTATTTCCTGAGATTTATTTGTAGAATCTGTTTGAGATCTCACTTTACCTAACTCTCATATTTCAGTTTTTTCTTGATACTATTAAAAGCCACAAATATTTTACTTTAAAATGTAGACTACTTGCTTTATTTTGTCTTGCCGGGCAAGAATTCCTCTATTCTTTCTCTGTTAATGAAGCCTTTTTCACAACTTTTTAAAATTTTCAGTTTTTATCTGTTGCTCTAGGAGTTGTAATTATAAGCACAAATTTATATCTATCTATATATATTTATAGTCTCTCTCTATATATATTTATAGTCTCAAACTGTAAATAGCTATGCATATGGTTATCTGTGTTATCATTAAAGTCTCCTTTGAAGTCTGTGAGGATATTTCTGCTAATAAAATGAAGTCTGTTTGTGATTGGTTGCATGAAGGTGCCAGTTATACAGAAATATGTACTCGAGTAATTTTGTGCAAACAGGATAGCTATTTTGATATTGATTAAATTATTCACAGAGCAAGAGATGTAACTACAGCTATAGGAAAACTATGCAGCAAATGAAAGCTTTTTAAATCAGGTGAAAAAAAGAGGAGAAGAAGTAGTCCTCGTTTAAAAATTCTTAGAATCAATCAGCTACAGATTTTTGATAGTAAGAGCATGTACCACTAGAGAAAAGGGGCGTGATGGCTCTCTTGTATCCTGGAAGATCTCTTGACTTTAGTTCAATATAAGTTAATTGGCTGAGTTAAAAGAAATTTGGTGAAATTTAGAGAAGGTCTGGAAAATCTTGGTTTCCCTGACCTTGAAATCTGTACATTAACGAACAAGTCTTCACAGAGATAGTGGTTGAAGTACTAGTGCCCAAAGCACTTACTAGAGATAAAGTATTCAGGTACCTCTGAAAGGAAATTACCAAGTTGTTCATAAACAATTACTAATAAAACTGTGCCTTTTCAATTTCAGAATATTTTAAATATTATTTGTTTTTCAACAATAATAATGCTAAGAATTTAAAATTTAGGAAAATTTTTTTGTATATAGAGACCAGGTGTACTTCTGCTGAAGGTATATTTTTGGTTCTTTTTTTTGATAGTCTTGTTAAACATGGGGATGCATGCTTGGAAACAGATGAATGTCCATGTTCATGGAAAGGAAAGGAATACTTTCCAGGTGACAAAGTCATTTCTTCCTGTCATACATGGTAAGTAGAGATCTAGTTAGGTGACTGTTTCATTAGTTGTTTATTTATGGATTGACTATTCCTTCATGTTTCTTAAAAAGAAATTTCACACCAGATTCTTGTAAATCATCTGCCCTAATTTTGTATTTACATTTGTTTAATGAGCTGTTAAAATGACATCTTTTTTTAGGGTTTGTTGTTTCAAGGAACTTGTAGATAACAAAATAACAGCTGTTTGGATTTTTTTTTTTTTTAAAAGCTTAATTTAGAAAAATCCATTGTTTTGTTTATCAAGACAATCTAAATTAATATTCCTTGGCCAGTGTTCCAAAAGTACAGGTAAAATTCTTCAAAGATTACACTTGAGTGACATTTGTTAAAGCTTTTTACTTATTTGTTTTCATATTTAGCATTGAATCTGAGCAGTCTAAGGACCCAAAACATAACCATGTGACCATAAGCATACGCTCGATACAATGATAAATTGAGTACTGAGCCACGTCATACACTGAGCATAGTAGCAGACAAATTAGTTGCTAATTTTGCGTGTGTGGATAACTGATGAATCAATCGGCTTTTAAAGGAAGTGTTCCAATAGACAAAGGTTGATAAGATCCCTCAAATACATGCAGAAACCTACTCCTTTTACTATCCAGTGTTGTAAATGCAGCACACAGCCTATAGCTACATTACTCCGTGAAGTTTCTTTGAGAACTCTCGTTATAAGGTAGTGCACTACCATTTCAATAAGCTTCAAAAGAGCTAAGATGTGAAAATATGCCATATCTGGCTGATCCTGAAACAAACTTGTTTCCTGATGGTCCCTGTCTGTTGTCTTCTCTGACCACTGTTGAATGTTGCAAGCTGACACTAATCAGCACTAGTTGTCTTACTAGAGCCTCAGAAAAATCAGCTGTACGGTCAAGCATCAAGATACTATGGTAGTGGTGTAGCTTCCAGCTTTCCAGCAGAGCAGTTCCTTCCTTTTGTCCCCTACTTATAGCTTACCAGGAGCATTTAACTGAGGTCACCTGGTAAACTACTTCTCCTGGCCTGCACAGCTCAGTATAGCCTAGTGCAGTGAAGGCTTGTCCAGTCAGCTCTAATCACTGCCTTGTCTGGATGTCGTTGCCCCCTCCAGCCTTGTGCTGACTGCCTACCTCTGCCTCTTGTCAGGTCCTCAGTATCTGCTCTAGAAGATATTTGTAGCCCTTTGGTCGACTGGTGAAGCGACTTACAAGCCATCTCCACTGGGCAGGCAGGTAAAGCGACCCGGGTTATTCACCCCCTTATTTCCAAACGGCTCTCCAGTTGGACCTGGTGTGGGATTGCTTGCATCAGAGAGAACTATTATATCCCATTTAATCTGTATGAGACTTCACCAAAGGCAGCAGCAGTACAGGCAGAAAGACACTGGATGTTTAGCCTTCCCTCTTTATTTCTGAGGCCAGGTCCGTTAATTCATGTACAAATCCTGAAGGCTGTCATGGCTTTTCTAGTCTTCCATGTCCAGAAGCAAAGACAGATTAAGTGATAACGGCTTTTTGGCAATCAAGTGTTCACTGACAGATGGGAAGTCTGCAACAAGCTTTGCTTGACACAAAGTGTAGAAAGTCTTTGAGGCTGCTGTATGTGTATGCAGGGGTGTTTGGTATGACAAGGGAAATGTGCATTCTTGCTTGTGCAAAGCATGAGAATACTCCTGTGCAAACAAACCCACTTAGGCACTCATAGGAGTTATAACAACTTCAGTGTTACTTAGTGCAAAGAAATAGTGTGCATTGATACTAAATATAATCTTATTCATATCTGATATAGTATTTGCAACATAACTATTAATCTGATTTGACTATTGAACAGTAAAAGGGCAAATAAAATAATTTCTTAAATTGGCAAAACTACTAGTGGAGTGTCAGAAACTTTCAGTCCAAGCTCTGGGGTCTGTCTGAACTGCGGTTCTAGGTTTCCCAAGTTTGGTTTTCAGTGCAACTGCCTGATATTGCTTACATGTGCTGATGAGATTAAACACAAAAGGTTATAACACTAACTGAAGGTATCAGGACAGTATTTTGGTGCTGTGCTGTGCAAGGCAAGATGGGTGGGCAGTTAGCTATGCTGGTTTGCTGTCAAACATTGAGACCATTCGGCAAATGCTGGTTAGTTTCTGTGCACTGCTGAATTGGGCCTTCCGTATTCTTAAACAAATACTTCTTGGAAATACTTTTTTTAAAAAGCAGTCAAAGTTTGCAGATCACTAGTAGCTCTGTTTTTCCAGCTAGGACTCTCTAGATTCTGATAACTAAATGTTAGTTTACTTGGCGTCAAGCAAGACTGGTGCAGAGGATTTTAAAGACACTGTGTACCTCTTAAGCCCTTGCTTCTGACTGTAAATAACACGTGTTAAGACTCCTGAAAAAGAAAGCGTGCAAAGGAGCTCCCTACTCTTTACGTGCTAAGAAATGTTTCTGTATGAGCCCTGAACAGATCAGCATGTCGAGCAGGATTTGAAAAGACCAAGAGTAAAACTAAAACCTAATGTCTCACAGATGGCACAAGAAGCAGCAGTTCTTCTTTCAGTCCAAATACAATTTATTCTATTTGCCTCTCTCTCCATTGGCTTGATTAGTTCCTGCCTTAGGTACCACTTTGAGGTGACTAGAATTAGCTGGGTGAGTCCTGCTGCCATCTACTTGTGCTTTGGTACAGCAAACACTTTTCACATGTAGTACTTTTAACTTACTTTAGCCATGTGTTTATATAAACCACTACTTTGTGTATGTAGTTACACAGAACGCAACAGTGGGCTAAATCAATGATGGGCTAAGCGGAGTCTTGGAAAATCTGGAAAATTACTCCAGGTTGGTGCAAGTTTTACGTGGTGAGAGAACACAAGGAAACATGATGCTACTAGTAATTGGAGCTGCATAGATTTGGAAACAGTGGTGTTTTGACCTTGTCATATATAATAGCAATATGAACAGAAAAGGAAAACTTACACTGACAAAAAACTCGGATTAATACTTTAGTTGTAAAATGTGAAGCATTCATTTAATCAGGAGATTGAAAATTCAGTATTTTGAAAATAAAGTTAGACACGCACTGAAATTATATCACATGCTATATTTAGTTTAACCTGTATTTTAAAGTATACCTGTAGTAAAACTATACCAGGGCACCAGCTCTGCTGTCTTTTTCGAGTGAAGCTTTTTAAGTGTCCAGGTTATTTAGAAACAGGAAAAAAAACAAAATTTTAAGAATGTCTTGTGGCTACAGGAGATAAAATTCTATCTATTATTTATAAATCTTATGTAATTTCTGAAAATGTTATTCAGATTGCAAGAGGGTGATGCAGAAAGAGACATATTATCCAGTGCTGCAAAGCCTCGCCATTAGGCAGTTACAAGGCAAACGTATTTCAGAAAGGTCTGAACAGTCATTTAGTATATATTTGAAGGAAGCATTTTTATACTTAAGGTGGCCGTAGACAGAACTTGAACTATTCTGGAAGCCCCTAAACTGTTAGGCCTAGGGTTTGGGGATGGTAATACCTAGGCATCTGGAAAAAACCCAAAATTCCCAGCTATCCAAAACATGGTTCTTTTACTAAGCACCAAAATAGGCTACTGAAATTTTTCCTTTGCAATTCTGTGAAATTCTCATTCAAACAGAGTGTGAATAAAGACTGTAGTAATAGGACATGTTGCTTGTTGATTCTAGGATTCAGCTTGTAAAGAAACAAGTGTTCTTGAGAAGCTGAAAAAGAAAGCTTTAACTTTGTGGCACATTATTGATGTGAATTATTAGAGAATAAATTGTATTACTTCAGGTGGCATGCTTTGTTTTCTTGTTTCAGCAAAAGAAATGCCCTTTGGATGTCTATATATTCTGGAACCTATAAATTCTAAAAGGAAGATACACAGACTGAACAGGCTCAATATGTACATTTTTTTTCCAGAGAATCAGTTTATATGTGCTGCTTCTAGTTAACATTTCAAAATTCTTTTGTCCACAGTCATCATACTTGCATGGCTTTTGTTTTTTTTGCTTCTCAGTGCAATAGCTGTAATCATTTGTCCATGGTTACAGTTGATATTACTATTATTGTCCTACATTTTTCAGCATTTGCCAGCATGGATCATTTCAATGCACCTTCCATCCTTGCCCATCAATGTGCACAGCGTATGGGGATCGGCATTACAGAACATTTGATGGACTAACATTTGATTTTGTTGGAACTTGTAAGGTTTATCTAGTTAAGGTGAGATGTTTTTGTAAAGCCTCTGTAAAACTGGATTTAAAAACTATGCATCTATTTATTTCCTATATGTATGTTTTATTGGGTCCTACATACTGTTTTTTAAGCTTTGATTTTGCTTACACTTTGAATCGCACATGACATAATAATTATACGCTGAGGTATCTGCTAATTGAACTACGTAAGAATATATGTATTTATATTAATATATTTAAAAGTGTCCATTTATTTTTTTTCCTTCAGGGTACTTCTTCAACCAGTTTTTCTGTTATTATAGAGAATATTAACTGTTTTAATACTGGAATCATTTGCAGAAAAAACATTTTTATTAATGTTGGAAAATCTTTTTTAATATTGGATGATGAAACTGGAAATCCCGTAAGTTTCAGTCTTTAACACTGATCAAAAGGTAGAATATATACTTCTCTGGGTGTTTTTTCCTTTCGTTAGCAAAAACTTACTGTGCCATTTAAGTAGCAGAGGCATAAATATCTTTACTGTAAGTGCTGATCACATCTGGATTGGTCAGTCCCTCAACAAAATCTTGTCTATATTTCCCAAAAATCTTAGATTAGAGGATCGTAGTTCTTTTATTTAGACTTAATTCCTGTGTTGTGTCTCAGGAAAAATCCAGATATTTCTAAGTCAGTGGGAGTTTTGCTATTAATTCCACTGGAACTGAGAGTTTAGTCTGGTGTGGAATGCATAGGAGGAATATTCCTATACAGCTGTAAAAAAATAAATTGCAGTCCTTGGTATATCCTCCACAGCCTTAATTTAAATTTTGTTTTGGCAAAACTTTAAACCCTATTGCTGTAAATATTTAGTGTATTTAGTAATTTTAGTATAAATAGTACTATTTACAGTTTCTAGACTGACTATACAAAGGAAGTTATGTCTCTTTGTATGAAGTATTGTGTAATTAAACTAGACATCTTAGTGCATGCTACAAATAATTTGGAATCTGTTTGTTACTGAATGGAGAGAAGAATGCTTTATGTAAGTAAGGTGGCAATCTCTGGACACATTCAGACGATTCCTTATTTCAAGAAGAAGCTCCATGCATCATTCTACCTATCTCTTTTCAAGAAAAGCATGTGGCTAAGACCTTCTGAATGCAATGATGTGTAACTAAGTGAAAATAATAACCAGGAACCTTAAGACTAATTGCCTAACAGATGAACCATTAACATTTTAATCTTCATTCCAGTTGCTGTTACTCATCCTGTAAATTTTATATAAAATCAACTTTTAAAATAGGAAAAATCCTAAAAATACAACACTATTCACAATCAAAATCCAGACTACTTTTGTTTAAGCATTTACCCATGTGGCCTTCTGTCAGTTTTTGGACTTCAGTCTGAGAACCATGTCATTCATTTTAATTAGGTGTTTTGTATCCTGTCAAGTGAACATTTTGTGAAGACTTTACTTACATTATAAGCTGCCTTGTTTTATTTTGAACAGAGCTTATCTAGTTACATAGACAAACTGCAAAAAATACTGTTATGGAAAGCTGGATTTTTCACTGTTGTTCATTTTCCTAATGAGCACATCACAATTCTTTGGGATCAGAGAACAACAGTTCATGTACAGATGGGTCATCAGTGGCAGGTAAGTGGAAGTCAACACTCTTCTTGCCATTTTTTTTAGGAATTATGTAAGTCTTACTAAGTAAGACATGTTATCCTCACTCAGAATAGACAATGTGTCAGAAATCATATAGGAACTCAGTGGAAGAGTCAAGGAAAGCAGCATTCAACTACCTTGTCAATTAAAATATTCATTCTCATGTACTTTTTTTTTCAGTCACTATTTACTGTCTATGTTCTGTAACAACAGAAATAAATCTCTTCGAGGCAATATTTTCCTTCAGTACTCATTCCTTATATGACTGGAGCAGGGGTTGTTTTACTGAAGTATAAAAAAGCACATAGCTAGCAAACAAGTCACTTCTCTGAATGAAAGATCAGCTCCTTTCTCAAAGGCTTGGAGATGCGTAGTTGAAAGGGAATAATACTGATGTTGTCAAAATAAAATATTTTCCATAGCTTTATTATCACAAAGAGCTGAACTGTTTTGGCTGAAACTTAGCTGGAAAGAATCAAAACCTGGCAAATTTATGATTAAGCAACTGAAGACAGGAACTTAAGAAGGAAGTTTGGAAAACAGTTGCAGCTGGTTTTGTTTTGTATCATATAATTTTGAATTAACAAACTCACAAGAGTTTGGAAACAGCTGGACAGCTGTAGAGGTACATAGTAAAATGAATGTGTTTGGCAGTAGATTTTTTGCTCTTACATCACATAATTTATCTTGAATGAAATCAGAAATTTGTTTCTGGAAGTATCAATCAGGCAGCAATGCAAATGGCAATATCAGTGGTTCTTACAGATATCATAATCCATTAAGGAGAAGAAAATGATCATATTTTTTCCTACACAGTGCTATAGTTTAGAGAAAAGTGCTGTATGATATTCTGAATCTACAAGTGTCACTGAAGACGTTGTTTGAACAGTAGTCCTTTTTTTGCATAGTGGAAGAATTGTGGGTTCAGTTTAGACTGTGTTGTCAGTTTAGCTGATTTTTCATAGCTGGGAAATATTTAACTGTGAAACTATAGCAATGGAAAGAAAAAAAATGTTCTTTCCATATGCAGTAAAGTTAAAAATTGGGCTTTTTTTGTCGTCATGTGTCTAGTGGTGTTCTTAGGAGTGTTCCTTCCTAGTAGTTAGAGTAAAAAGATCTGGTTTCTGACACTTCAATGTATGTTGTCCGAGAACTTTGTTATTTATGTATGCTAGGCTATTCAGGTGTAAGGACTGCACATTGGGACTGCATGGCAGCTCTGTTTAGACCTATATGTACATATGTGGTTTTTCTGCTGCTCTCAGACAAATGAAACATTTATTCAGATTGTGTACTTTTTGTTTTCTGCAGATTAGCATCCCCTTTTAATTCCATACCTTAGTCTGGCTTTAGTTTCATAAATGATGCATTTGTTCTGTGTTTTACATCTCTCTTTTTAAAAAGCAGAACAAAACCATGCTCTATGAGTTCAAGCACAAAGTGGTTATGAAACAAGTTTCTCACCTTGATTTTGCTTTCTGGTTAAGTGTGTTGACAGCTCTGACATTCGCAATCCCTGCAGTTTGAATCCCCTTCGAGAGCCATTTGCCAAGAAGGAATGTGGAATACTGTTAAGTGAAGCATTTGAAGCTTGCCATCCAGTGGTGAGTTGTGGTCGCATATAGAAAGATGTGAAAGTGAACATAGCGCTAGAGAGAAGCTTTTCAACTTGCATCACTTAAAACCATCACGTTGTCATCCATAACATCATAGTTTTGACTACTGTAGCAAAAAGGAACGTGAAGAAAGTCTAACCCATACCTACTCTGATTCTAAAATGTGAATGTTTCACTGGACCTGTTATAAGGACTATCTGCACTTAGCTGACCTAGACAGTAGCCACTTTGGCACCCATTTAGCATTCTACAATGCGGGTAGTCCTATTAGTCCCTTTTGTAATTAATGCAGACAAAATTATACCCAATTTGTGTTATCTCTTTTTTTCATCCCAAGTACAGTTTGCATAAGCATAACCACTTACTTCACTTTGCTCAGATGTGTTACATAGCATGCACATTTTTCAGGAATATTTAAATAAATTGACAGTTTCTTCTACGCAGAATCAGATGTAAAGAACTCTTTACTAGGAAAAAAAAATTCATATATGTCCTCACTTAGGCAACCATCTAAGGAAATAAATGAGCCGTACAACGTGTTCTGACAGTCAACAGGCTCAAGTTCAGTGGGAGAATTAGGTGTGACTGATGTCCAAAGCTAGGTCTTACATGGATAATGACATATCCCAGAATGTTCAGGTGTTGAGACTGTGTGCATGGCTTAAAGAGTGTAAGTGTCAGAATGGTTCCTAGGGAGAAAGGAGATTTCATATGAAAGACAACCAGGAATCTTGCAGTGTTGCTTTGTATATTATTTTGGAAAAAAGTGGAAGCTGATGTTAAAGTTGTATTAATGTAATGTCAGTTTAGTCCATTGTATAAGGTAGGTAGCAATGAAGTTTCTCGTAAGCATGTGAGTATTACTCAAGTGTGAATCCATGTAGAATGTGTAACAATTCAATAAGCAAATTAACACTTTTCTTTGAAATTTTGTCACTGAAGACTTCAGAATAATCTGAGGGAAAAATCATGCATGCACCTGTGAAATTGTCCAGTAACGTGAAAAGAATGAACCACTCTCACATGGAGAGTTTTCTGTCTACTTTATTATTTCTTACATTTTATGTTTATTTAACTTTCTTAACACTTCTGAGATTTATTTATTTGTGATCAGTTTAGAGAGAGTTTCTCTTATTGCATAAGCTTCTTTATAGTGTATTATGGTTTAAAAACTACTACAAAACACAAGCTCACATCAACATCTTAGTGTGCGTGTTCTTAATGGATCATTGATTTAATTGTGTTAACAAGTACTGTATAAGATTTTATGATGTGTTCTAACAAACTTTTTCTTGTGTTTTAGGGAACATTTAAATTAAAATCTTTAATATTTCAAAGACTTCTGTATTAAATTTTGAAACAGTCATAGCTTTCTGTTGAGGTGATTGTTGCCAGAGTATATGTGAATATTTTTGATAAGTGATATTTATATTTCCAGATTGATGTCACCTGGTTTTACTCAAACTGCTTAGCAGATACATGTGGTTGTAACCAAGGAGGTGATTGTGAGTGTTTCTGTACAAGCGTATCGGCATATGCCCATCAGTGCTGCCAGCATGGAGTTGCTGTAGACTGGAGGTCCCCTAGAGTGTGTCGTAAGTTTACTTAACTGGCATTGCCAGTGGCTGCCACCATGTGCATTTGTGAGACCCAGACCTGGAAAATCAATCACATTAAGTTGCCTGGGGCCATGAATTGAATCACTAAGCCCCAGTGGTAGGAAGATGAGTGGGTGCCTCTCACTGCCCTCTGTGTTCATTTGGGTGGTACTCTTCTGTTCTTAGTTCCTTGTCCTATGATGTGAAAGGAAAAGTCATGGGAAGTCTATGTTAGCATACAGCATGCGTCCCTCAAACCAAAGGTAGAAAGTTAACAGCTCAAGTAATTTCCACCTTTAGGAGGACTTCGCTTCTTAATAGCGTCTAGGAAACATAGTTGCCTTACTATTGCCCCCAGAGCAAGTGTGAAATGTAAAGGCCTTCTGAAGAAAAACAAGTAGGTTTTTAAGCAGGACTTTGTCATTACCTTAGTATCCCTATTCAACAATACTTAGAAGTTGTAAAAAAAATCTGAGGCCTATTTCTATGGCGCCTAGTGCAAATGCCTAACAGGCGACAGTTATTTCCCCAATGATGTAATAAAAAAGGGCAAGATAGAAAGAATGGAAGGAATCAAGCGTTGTTCTAACTTTGCAGTTGCACAGGGAGAGTATGCAGCTTGCTTAAAGTCACACAGCAAACCTGCCATAGAGCAAGAGGGTTACTCTTTAATTTTTTATAGAAATGGTATGTGTGTTTTAATGAGAGCATGAAAAGACAGCAAAGCTTAGTCTTAACCACTAGAGGTCACAGAAACACAGCTGTGCGTATATAAGCTTAGTATTTCCTGCTGGAAAGTAATATTTAATATAAATCAGTAGTTTAAATTAGTATTTTATTTAAAGCAGTAATTATTTGGCAATAATTTTTTTAATAAATGTTTGTGTATGATCTAACTCGGCAAAGCATTTGGCTTACCTTATAATCATAAAGGGTGATAGAAAACCTGTTTATCTGCAGAATGTCTACAACTACTTTTCTTTTCTTTTTATATTTTAGCTTATGATTGTGAATATTTCAACAAAGGTAAGTCCTAGAGGACCTAATAAAATGTCAATAGAAGCTTTGATTTCTTGATGTAAGTCTTAGTACTTAGTATAAAAATAATCGTGTTAAGGAAAATCGTTGTGAATGATATACTATTTAAATAGCCAAGATTCTCTTTTACTGGCTTATTTTGCTTTTTCAAAGGCTTTTAATTTCATGAACTTTTTTATTCCTGGGCTTTTCCCAAAAATACGTGTTTAACTCATTTTCTTTGCATTTATGGATAGTGATTAAAGAATGAAATCGTTAAGTAATTTGTAGACTATTCAACTCAACGGTACTAGTGGCACTAGTTGTTTTAAGACATACTGCAGTTCAGAACGGATACCCGGTGGGTCTGTCCTGTGCAGCCTCCAGAGGGAGGTAGCTATTTAGATATTTCAACTTCTTGTGCCCAGATAGGGAGTAACTCTCCGTATAGGTATGTCTGACCTAGCTTTAAGTTTCTGAGCTACAAGCGTTGCTACTGCATTAGAATGGCTCTCGGAGAGAGGTGCAAGACCTCTACGAGGTGCTAGGGTAAACCTTGACTCTGCACTGGATGCTCTACTGCTGTGTAAACACTGGAATCTGTATTCAGACTATTTTAAAGTTATATTGCAAGTGTCTGCATAGTTAGACATGGTACACATACAAGCACTGCAAGTGAGCCTGATGTGAGGAATGGTCAGGACTCCTGCTATTTATTCTGTAACTCTGCTTATCAACCTCATGTAGAAGCCTGACAATCCAGATGTCTTTTTATATTTTGGTCTTCTGTTAGACCCCATATTGCAGCAGCTCACCCCCAGAAAGATCTCGGAGAGGGACCAAGTTTAAATTAGAAGAGATGTGTGCCAGGCCCAAACGGTACGGCCAAGCAATTTACATTTTCTGGTATACTGACTGCTGAAAAGATTTTGAGTGGGGTCAAATTGCTAATGCAGTGGAATTTTATCTAAATCACTATTTAAGCCTTTAAATTAGTTTTTAAAAATGCTGAATATAAGAGGTGAGTGATTGCAGTTTAAAATTTCCTTTTTGGTTTGCTTTGTTTTATAAATGGAATACAGTCTGACACTAGATGATCTTACTGCAATTGTAACAGATTGAGAATGTAGTGCCTCTAACATCTGTGGTTGTAGTGAAGTGCAGTTAGGTGATAACATATACTTTTAAAGTATGTTATTAGTTTTACTTGCTACTGAATTCTCACTGACAGAAATTAGTTAAAATAGTGGGGAGCTGTGCATGTGACAAGCTTGTAATAAATACAGTTATCATATACTTGTCACTTCATAGCTTCCGACTGTTTGCTAATCCAGCTCATCAGTATTCAGCATAGGATGTTTCAGAGCTGCCAATGGGGAAAAAAATCATCACTGTGCTGAGGATTTTCTTCTGTACCTCAAATATAGCATTCCCCAGAATTACTTAGTTTTGGAGATAGGAATATTAAGAAATTGTCTTAGACCAGAGAAGGGTTTTCTTTATGTAACTTTGTTATGAATCTAGAGTGAAATCTTTCCAGTCCTACTAGAAGCAGGAGCCTTTTCTCTTTGGTAAGGGGAAATTCTCAGCTGGTAGCTGTGGTTTCTCAAGTTTTGGGTGGGCCTGAGATATGAGACTTAAACATATAGTAACATTTCCAGAACACTAGCTGTTTTAAGTAATTTAAAAAATGTTTTTCAACTCCCTGCACTGAAGGTAACCAGGTATCACTGTACATGTTTAGGTAGGCATGGGCCTGTGTCCTAACTGGCCACCTATTTATGCCATTTGAATCTAAAACTCTGGTTGTAGTGCAGCCTCCTTAATATTTCAAAACTCTTAATGAATTTTAAGGTTAGGGAGAACCGGAGTATGAGGGTGGGCTGCAAATTGAAGTCCAAACTTTTAACCTGTTGTAACAGATTTAAAGGTCAGTGGTATTAGGTGCAACTGTCAGCTGAGAAATTTTGGGACACTTCTGCCTTAGATGTATGCTTGCCATGTCCTGGCTTGTGGGTAAAGTGGTGCTGAGATGAATTGCTCAGGTGTGGTCCAAAATGCCTGATATGAACAGAGACATTTACAAAAATAGTTTCAAATAACATTTAAAAATAAACTTTAAAATACTTTTCTGCAGTGAAATTGGAAGTGAGGAGGTGTGACATTGTAAGATTTGTAAAAACAGAACTTCACGTCCTTTTGGCTTTTCTTACTTATAGGCAAAATATGACCATTCCTTTGCTTATGATGCTGATTTCTTCCTGTCTCACTTCCCAGTGGTTACGTTTGTATCTACACCTTTCTGGGAGTTCTTTGGTACTTGATGATGACAAACTTCTGTTGCCTGTAAAAAGCCTCACACTTTGGACACTAATAAAATAAGTTTTAAAGAATACTAAGAGGTGTATAATCAGTTCAACCCAGATAAACGATTTGGAGGGATGCCAGGGTGATCTGTAGAGCTGTTTACTTCTAAATCAAATAACCTAGGAGTCAGCTAACTTTAATAAAGTGACTATGAAACCCACGTGGATAAGAGGGAGGAAAAGGAGAAGCTAATTATGCACCTTGAAAATTGAATCTAGGCATTTTGGACAGTTTTCAGAACAGGTATTTTCTAAAAGAGTTTGGCTTGGTTTTGATTGTCATTATAATTTGGTGCATGGCATTTAGAGCTATTTTCAGAGTGGAGAGATGTGTTTTCATTTATGTGCCATATCATAGTATTTAGACCGCAAGTATTGTGACACTTGACATAAAAGGTAATTCAGATTTTTTTTTCTCAACAGTTCTGGGAAAGGGCCCATACAAACTGGTCAGCTATTTGGATGGAGAATTTGTAATGGCAGTGAAACTGCTGGATGGTGTTGTTTTACCAGTGAGAGAAGAAGATATTTTTCCTGAACATGCAGTGAGCTTTATGCTGACTTCAGGACTTTATAAACCCAAAGCACATGGTAAAGTCACTGTAACCCAGAGGCTTAAATAAGACAGAGTAAATTCTGCCCTTAAATACAAGTCTACATTTAAGAATAGACCTGGGTCAAAAAAATCTTTTCTTTATCTATCAGGTGATTGTGTACCTTAATGTTGTCTGCCAAAATTTTTGTTTGGTTTGTAGATGATTGTAGTTTTATAAGCAGACACTTCTAGTTTAAAAGCAACACCCCCCTCGCCCCAACTTTCAGAAGCACCAAATCAGTGTTGTAGCCAGGTACTCCAGATGAGCATTGCTCCCTCCACCTTTCCTCTGGCAGAGTTGGGACATGGGGAAGAATGGGACTGAAAGGATACAAGAAGAGTACTTCCTAATTCACTCTCTTTGCCACTGTTCATTGTCTGCCCACTTGTACAGACGCCCATTGGCACTAACCTGAGCTGTGTAACGGTGTGTACTGCAAATTTGTCTCCTTCGGGTCCCAACTTAAGTTTCCACTAAAGGAATGCGTTTCTTATTCAACAGACAGAAGAAGTCTTGCACACCTTCAGACAGGTGGAGGACGCTTACAAGAATATATTCAGCACTTTGTGACATTGACTGAATGCTAGAATTGTCTGCATACGCAGTTTTAATGCCTACAGAGCACTTGGGTTAATACAATTTTAGTCCCCAAAGTCCCCTGATTTGGACAGCCTGAAGGTGGCTGTCGTCTTTGTGTGACCAAAGACGGGATAAGGTTCAGTTGAAAAAATGACAAGTATTTGATTAGTAATACTGCTGTCTGTAGAACTGACATGAGAACTCATGTAACAGAATATCCAGGGCTAGATTTCTTTTATCAGTCATAGTTTTGAGACACTTGCACATTGCATTCAATTTAGTTATGGAAAGGGAAGGTCAGTCCTACTGTTCTATTCACATATAAAAATCTCTTGCTCAGAATTTAACCTGGCAAATGAAATTTGTGCCTTCTAGTCCAATTTGAGTGAATGGCATTTCATCATTTGCCTGTGGAGGAGTTTATACAGTCAATACAATATTTTTCATATCTGTGCCTTCATTTATATATCATTGTTCTTGGTTCCTTGGTACCTCAAAAAAATGGATGTGTTTCATCAGTTTCAGACAAATGGAAAGTTCTGGGCATTGATGTAATGACTGGCTATACGGCAGGTATCATAAGTCACACTGACTGTCCACTGTTACTTATCAAATAGGTACTTGTTACAGACCATTAATAAAAAGATATTCACAAGTGCTACCATGTTTCTCAGATTAATTAATGGTTTTATGCTCAGAAAATAACTTGGTCTCCCAGAAGTGTTCTACCAGAACGTGGTAGTATATCTGTTTATTTGAGATCATTTGTTTTCTATGCATTCTTTTTTTCAATAAATGCTACCCAGGCATGGAGGGTTAGTTGATTTTACAGTAGTTCAATGGTGGTTTTCAAGAGAATAGCAGAGTTTACAGCAAAATAGAATGAAGTAGTTCTGCGAGCAACAGATGCCTGTAACAGGCTCCAGATCTGTTACTCTGCAATTGGTTGTACAGAGACTTGCTTGAACTCTTTTCAGAGTAAGGTGTCATGTGGGTACATTTGCCATAAAACAGACTTTGCTGTTAACATTCTTAGGGGAAGGGCTAGACAGCTGACCGCTTAGAAATGAAGATGTATCTGTAAGGTGAATGCAAAATATACATTTTTGTAATTTATTTTTAATGAAAGACTGAGCTCTTACGCTATAAATTGCTGATGGCAAACGTTACTTGTAAAGCTAGTTAGATGAAATTTAAATTTATATTAAATAAATGGCTGAGTGAAGGCTGTAAACTGCTTGGCTGTGAGCCTATATTTCTTTATCCTGCTGTGGGCAAATATTTTAATCTGCTTGTAATCCTGTGGAAATCTATAGGATATTTAGAAAACTAAATATCCATCAGAATCTAGCACTCTGAAATCCATATAGTGTGTATTTTCTTACAAGATTCAAGCTATTTTCACTGACAAGGCCAAAGTCAGTTTTCCGTTGCTCATGTTACTAATATCAGTAGTAGTACATTTGAATGAGTTTAGTTTAGTGTGCATATATCAGCAAGTAAATGAATTCTGTGTGGTTTTTTCAGATTCCAACTTGATTTCATTTGAAGTGGCTGAGAGACCAAACTATTTTCTTCAGTTGGCCTTCAATAATACTCTCCTTCTTTCTAAATGGGAAAAAAGCGAAGAGTTTCACAACAGATCTACATTTGTCATTCACAAGAATACATGGCTTTCGGGATACAGTTCCTTTGAGTCATTTGCGAAACCAGGATACTTCATCCACATTTCAGGCTCCTCAGTTGAGCTTTTGAAGTACCATCATTCAGAGGAGTTCAGACTGTCAACCCTTTTTAAGCTTGTAGGTAAGTAATTAAAGTTGTATCTTATGAACAGCAGTTTGCTCCCTGTGAAAATACAGGCTAAATGGTATTAATATTTTCAAAGGTGATGAGATTGCTTACTTCCCTGCATCACTGGGAGCTGTGAGTAATCATGACATGCAGGCTCAAAATCTTCCTTGAGCTTTGTAGTGAGGATGAGATTCTGTTTTCTTGTCAAAAGACATTAAATAGCCTAAACCACAACTTTGCTATCTTTGCCAACTGGTTTTGGAAATACATGGCTTAGTGTATAGTTTCTGGGCAATACTTGATTTGTAGGTACAGAGGAGCAGAAAATTCATGCTGATGAATAGTGGATTCACAAAGGGAACGGAAAACTGAACACATCTCTAAAAGCTAAGGTCTGTGGATGATGTTTTAGCTTCCTTTCCCTTCAGTTGCTGCCAAGAGAGAGTCTTCTGTACAGTGCCTTCTCAATGCAAGCTTTGTGGCCTCCTCAGAGGTTATGCCACCCAGTGCTAAGGACATTGCCTGTAGATTACACCTCCCAAAACTTGTGTTTCCGCTGAGAAGCACCTTGACCTTTATCCATGTACCCACTGACAGAGGGTCTGCCTTTTGGGATGTTATCGCCTGATGTTTCTGGTGCCATCTGAGTGGAAATACATGCCTCTTCTTGGGTCTCTAGATGTCTGTTTCTCTAATGTTTCTCGGACAGCTACAGCTCTTGAATACACAGCGTAGACTGCTGTGAGAGTGTTCCTACCTACTTGAGAGATTCCCATTCCTGCAATACTAGTCCCGATCCACTAAGACATAAGGATCAGAAATGTAGGAGATATTCTTAGGACCTTTCATAGGAGCTGGATCCAGACAATGCTTCTACAAGAACTGATGAGAAAAAACACACATTAAAAAAATCACTAATAAATTAAGCTGTTTATTTTTTTAGACTAGTAAGGAAAAGAAATAATAACTGGTTTCACATATTCTTAAACACTTGGGAACCATGTGCTGAAATGAAGATGGCCCTGCAGCTCGAGAACAAGATGCGAGAAGTTATATTCGCCTATAAAATAAAACAAAGCAGATTATTCATGAAGCCACTCTCGTGTGTGCTTGTCTCAATACATCAGATACATCAGACACCTTCGTATGACTTTATGAACTTCAGCAACAACTACTACTTGCTGAAACTACTGGCTTTTATGTGGTATATAAAATTCCAAAATCACTGCAAGTGTTTATGTTCTAAAGCTTTTCATTGTGCTGTAATTTCAATTGCAGTAGTAATTCATTTATTGGGGTGACAGAAGTATTTTAATAGGTATTCTTGGCAATACCATTTTTTAAAATCAGTTCTTCATTCTCTGAAACCAAAATTTGCTTTACAAGCAGGGAAAGAAAAGGAAATACTGTAGCAAATGAAGCATGGCCTGGCCATGTTTTACAGTGACCATGTTGAATCTCGGCTCAGACAAATCTGAAGCAAGCACTAACTTCTATGACAGAAGAGGCCAACTGTGTGCCTCATGGAGATTCTTGTTATCAAAACATTGAATTAAAGTGTTAATGGTGGCATTGTGAATCTGCCGATGTTTTGTGGTGAAATATGCTGACAGCCTAATGCAGCTGTTGACTGGCACACTCCAACTTCAGAAAAAATGACAGATTTTGTCATTGCCAAATGCCTGTTGCCTCTTGACAAATGCTGTAGTCACAGAGCTGTTGAGGTTTTTGAACAGCAGAATTATAGAGCTAATGCTATTGCCAGTATGTTCATACAGCATTTCAAGCAAAGATCTTTCTTTGGACGTAACAAAAATATCTCCTTAGTCTTTTATCTTTGAGGGAGGAATAAAGAAGGTTAAAACATGTTCCAATTCTCAGTGGTCGTCCATTAACACAAAGTGGTATGTCTTTTCAAGTGTGAAGTCTTAACCCTCCAGTCATTATACCAAAAAAATCTTATCTATGCCAATGGAAAACTAAAACAATTTACCTCAGCAAGTGGGATCAGATCAAATGATCAAGAAGCATTTCATTAATCACCACATCCGAGGGCTTGAGTTTCAGAGTTTTATAAGCAGAGAAACATAGGGCTCGAATCTTTCTCCAGTGTACTTTCACAAGGGCCAGCCTGCTGATGTAGGGTAATTACATGGTCTAAAAATACAGCAGCATTTGTTTAAGTTAATGGAAAAGTTACACCAGCTCCAGAGTGCACAGGCAAAAGCGTGTCTCTTGAACCGGGAATAGCTATTCCTGCGGAATCAGAGGATAAATATCGGGAGCAGAATAATAGGCCCAGTAAATCCCCTTGGCCAGAAAGCTCCTCATGAGACTTCTTTATGCTCTGTGACGCACGTTCAAAAGGAAGAATTTTAAATGACCTGATCACCGCAGCATAGATACATGTTTGTTTAAAGTCAGCTGACAAGTCATTTTTTCCACTATCATAGCAATAAATATTGTCACATTGAAATAGTTTGACTATCAATTGCGCAGATATGATGGGCTAACACTGCAAAGTTTTTTCCATGAGAAGGTACTCCAGCTTTTAAATTGGGTTATTTTCATTATACTTAGATTTGTCTGCTGTCCTGTTCCCACCTACATTTGAGGGTTTGAGTTGATAACTGAATTTTGAATCTCTAGAGTATACCTACTCACAAGAAAACACATTTTTGCATTCTGTGCAGGAATTTTTATCGGCAATGGATTGGTATTCGTTCAGTCAAAAGAAAGAATACACTTAGTCTTATCAGATGGACAGGCACAGAGGTGTCATGTAACAGCAATCAATTCACATTTGAAATTGTTGAGAAATTAGTGGATGTAGGAAACTGATGATCTTTCTGTGGATATACCTGCAGTTCTCTTACCCTTTTTAAAAATAATGTGCTCAAACTAGTTACCGCTTACCTTTCATAGAATTATCATAATATGTTCACCTCTTTAAGATCTCCTTGAGTTAATTTTATATATATTCTAAAAATGTGACTTGCTCTATATAAATTCTGCAGCAAAGTTCTTCATGATGACAGTTATGTGCTTTAACAGCTAACTTGCTGTAAATATAAGGCCTATGTTAGAAAGATTTCTCAGCTAAAATTAAAATCTCAAGATACACTAAATATATGCACACTGCACAGAGGTATGTATCAACGTTTAAGTTTGATACAGGGCATTTTTGGTTGCTTTTAATGTTTGTATCTTAACTGAAACACATTCAGAAACAGTACAAAACTGAAAATGAAATTAATTTTAATGAAAAACTTTTTTTTTTTTACAAAATCATCTTGCATCTTAAGTCAGATTTATACCTTATGTGGTTGACTATTTTAACTTCAACTTACTCTTATCCATTTCCATCAGTAGAATCAATTTTCTAGAATGTCCTGTTTTACATATAAGGAGTTGCTCAGGTTTAATTTGAGCTTGTATGCTTTGTCAGTCCAAAAGATCATGACGTGGGGCTTCGGACTGGATAATGTTGAGCAACTGCTGTTTTACCTGCAAATCCTGGGTATGCCACTGAACACATCCTCTCGGTAGCTCTTGGAATCAGACTCAAGTTACTGCAGAATTATAATGTCTTTCCTATTTATACAACAAACACAAACATTTGACCTCCCATTTTTGACTGAATAAATAGGAGGAAATTAAATAGTTGAATAAGATTACGTTAATCTAACATTGTAATAGTAAACTAAAACAAAAGTGGATAATTATATGGTGATGTTTTGACTGGGAACAAAGTTCAATTTTTGCAGTGATATTTGCTTACATTTCTCATTGCAGAAACTTAGAAGTCATGGGCAGAGTTTGTTAGTAGTTTCTGTGTGTTAAGTGGGTAGATAGGATTTCATGTTTCTATACTTGTAACTGAGGACATAGGCAATCTGCGTTACTAAGCAGAGTTTTGCTGCCGCTATAAATAGAACTAATTCTAAAGCAAATTTTGTTCCTACTAGATTTTTTTTAAATTTTGGGAAAAGGAGCAAAACAGAAAAAAGTTTCAGGTGAGAATGAAAATACAAATACTTAGGGTTTTTTTCATTATTTTTAAAACCTTTATTTTAAATATAACCTTTTATTGACATTAGACCATTTCACATTTTAGGATTTTTTAAAGTAAATAGCCATTATTTGAGCATAGCATGAAATTATTCATAATACACATATTCTGACAATGGCAGATTTTGTCCATATGAGGTTAAAGTCAGAAAAAAAAGGCAGGATGGACTTCTGAACAGTAGGATTTGTCAACATGCAAAATAGTGGCCAGATTCCATATTCTGACAATGGGAGATTTTGTCCATATGAGGTTAAAGTCAGAAAAAAAAGGCAGGATGGACTTCTGAACAGTAGGATTTGTCAACACGCAAAAAAGTGGCCAGATTCCTAAGAAAGGTTCTTGTGACTTAACAGAACATCACAGTCTATCAGTGATAAAGAATTAAAATTCTTCATTACATGGTAGCAACTTTTCTCATTATCACAGAAATATTTTTGAAAGCCACGAAGAATGAAAGACGTAAGTTACGGGGAACAAAATGCTTCTCTGATGTTCAAGCAAGTGAGAGAACAATGAAGTTGGGGAATATGTTTTAATAGGTTGTCTTTGGCAACACATATACCTGCATACAAAAGCTTTCTGTAGTACTGTAATGTGTCGATATGCTCAGCTCCTTTTAGGTAACTGAACTGTGGACTCAGTTGGCATGTCAGCTGGAGCAACTGTCATCCAGGGCATAATTTACCATTTTATGAAGGATTTGCTGTGTCACTGAACGAAAGACAAATGCTGGTAGACTTCACCAGGAGACACATGGTTACTTTCAAATGCCATGACAAATCCTTTTGAGGAACACATGCCTGCTATAAGGAGCTTGACTCATTGTCTGTAAATTGTGTATCGTTCTTTTGTTGTGAGTGAACTGTACTGTTGCACAGAGTACAGTAAGCTCGTATTACTGGTTGCTGGACAGGGAATTTAACTATTAAAAAAAAAAAGGAAAGCAGGTGGTGGAGGTGGCTGATGAGCATCCTGGCTAGCGTAAAGCATTAAAACCATGATACTGGTGAAATCCACAGTTTCTGAGCTGTGGTAGTTTCTGTCATGGGAATAGCAGCACTGTAGTAACAATAACGCTGAGATTGGTTTGGCATGGAAGTTAATGTCTAAAATCAATGCAGAGAGTGAAAGGAATATTTTCCTCCATTTAGGGAGAGGGATGCTTAAATGGCTTTAAAGCACTTTGCGGCTGCTTTTCCTTATACCCTAATGATAGTGGGTATTGGGGTCATAACTAATATACAGATGTACTAAGAAGAGGCAAAACAATGTATTATTTTAGCTAGGTACAGAGATACTTCATTGTTCTCTTGGCTTAGTCTTGAATTCATGTTAGTTCAGAACATGGCTCTGTGCCTCTGTTTCTCCTCCCCTTCATTTTCTGTCTAATCTCAATTTAGTGTAAACTTTTTAGAGCAGTAACTACATCTTGCTGTGTTGTTTTTTGTAGTGGCTTGCACAATCAGCTAGGTCCTTGGGCTGCTTAGGCGTTCTGAAAGTGATGCTGCCAGTAGCGAAAACTTTAAATATGATGAATGACTGAACTGACGTTTTCCTGATGCTGGAAAGGCATTTTCCCATAATTCATAATAAAGCACAGATTTCACTATATCTGATGGATTTACTGAGACATACTGAAAACTTTTGAGATACTGGAAACCAATTCATGCAATATATTCAACTCTTTCTGTGGTGATTTGGTCTGTTCTTTTACGTAATTTACACACTAAAAAACCTAATACAGCTTGGCCCAGCACACTCAATTCTCTAAAATACCTTGACTGGAAAATTAAAGGTCCATTGGTTCTACAGCTCTTCTTTGAAAACGATTTTTACAACCAGGTTCATGAATTCATCTGTTGTCCATACTTCTTTCTGCAGAAGTAGCGATAAAGTTTGCAGATAAGCATGACTTTGTTCATTCTTGCCTGAAAGTGATGTTTATGAACCACTCCACAAATGCTATGCCTTTATGTAGAAGTTTGCCCTATTTCCTACCAAGGCCTGCAACACCAGCAAACTCTGTGAACTTCATCTGTAGGAAAGCTTGAGGAAAATGTGGCAATTATTTCATAAAATTATAAGTTTATTTTAGAGAATGGGAGATGCTATGTCAATCACAGTGCTTCGAAGTGTTAATTCACCATCACTGTTCTGCTAAACTGAGAAACTAACATTCTTCATCTGGTTACAGTATGTCTTCTGCAAAGCTTGTGCCTTTACTTGTGTTTGAAACTTCTTCTGTGATTAATGGTGAGGTTTATGGCAAGAGTTAAATGTTAGGGATCTGTCTCTGTACTTAATCTAGGGTAGTCTGAATGAGATTTCCTAGATTCCACTTGGATATAATATTATTGCTGGTTATTGCTGTTGGTGATTGCCTGTGCCAACAGGTGTCTGATACGTTCTGCCTTTTTGTCATACATCTTCTGCTTTTGTCCTTAAACTTTACCCCTCTGACCTGTCAGTGCATACAAAATCCCATATATCAGTCTGCAAAATGCATGGAAATAATTCCCCTCCTCCATTAGTTTTAAGGAACTTAAGTTGGTTTCACTAGAAGGGGGGACAGAAGAATTCGGTGACATATACTTAGCTTTTTATGGGAATGTAACTTTATGAATGCATTTGTTACTGTCGTAAGAATTGTGTTTTCAAAAGCAGTGACAAGTTACGTGCTTGGATCGGGTGACATGTGAAAAGGATAACACTAGATGGCAACATACACACTTCCATTTGAGTTTGATTTATAGCTTTGATTTAAAAGAATTATTTGTATTTTAAAAGAAAAGAATAATGATTAATAGTGGCAGAGAGATCATTACTTGTAAGTGCAGATGTCCCTAAATTGCTGGAAAAACAATTTCTTGGGATCTTCATGGAAAAGTTGACTGTTTCCAAGAAGATGTAAAAGAGCTGCTCTCTTTGTATCTCAGTCAAGCAAAGATCAGCAAAACTTAAAAGCAGAAAGACTTCAAAAGACCAAAAATGGAAACTTTTTTTAGGCAGTAAGCATTTTCTTTCTGGTCATTAATGTAAACATTGTTTAATAGCAGTTACTCTTCATAGGCCGTGAACAGCATAGCTCTAAGATCAGGTTTACCAGTCTAGAGGGGACCCACATGTCATGATGGTGGTTTTCTGTAGGCAGAAATGCAAGGGAAGTGTCACTGCCCTGCCCTGACTGCTACAGGAAGGAGCTGGGTCGGGTTGTTGTAGTTGAGGTACTGAAATCCAGATATATTGCCTAAGTCATGCAGGCATTGGAAGAGCCACTGGACTAATCTAGTGTTGTGTGAGAAACCATTCTGCATGCAGAGGGGACAGGATTGTAGCAAAAAAGAAAGCGTGGTACCACATTTGAACATGCAAGCATGTCACCCACATGAAGATTGCCACAAATTTGTTTCTCTCAGATTTTACAGTTGGTCTGTCTCTTCTTTACATTAATTTTGTAAAGTTTCTGCATAATTTAGTAAGCACTGGAAGTATAGGCTGGTCGTTATTTCTGGTTATTCTCACTTTGAAGTTTAAATCTTCCTCTATTTGTACTTTGGGTTTTAATTATGTGAATCTGAATCCTTCAGCAAACACTATCTATGTAGATACTCTGCAGGCAGTTTGGGTTTTGGGTTTCGTTTTGTTGTTGTTGTTTGCTTGTTTGTTTTTTAAATTTGCCGTAGTGTTTCATTATTGTACTATTTTGTCTGGTGAAGTATATTTTGAGTTAAATTTTGCAAGACTATATGTCTTACCTCATCTGAGTTGCTTTGTTCATTGTAGGAGCAGTTAAGATTTCAGATTCAAAATGTTTTGAGGTTTGAATTAATTTATCTTGGCGTGGCTATCTTATACTGCTTTTGAGAAGATCAACTGCTAACATACATATTGCTTTAAAGAATCTGAATTGGCATGATTTCTCATTACTTTATTTGGAACGGTGTTTGTTTTGGCTTTTAAAATATGATTGTATCACACAAGTTATGTACACATTTGTGCTATATCAGCAAATTTTACACATGAAGTAAAAAACTGTTATGATACATTATGTTAGAAAGAGTATCAGCGTATTCAGCTGGTGCTTTTAATTTTGATTTTAACAGCAATAATTGTACTGAATCAACATAATGTTAATTTTACATTTTGTTTGAATAACCAAACATATCTTCATTGTTGATACAGTTTTTAAAAGTTAAAAACAACAGCTCTAACTTGCCTGGCTTTATTCTGAAGTGATTGTAATATGCAGTAGATGTGGCTAATTCCATGTTATGTTTTATACTACAAAGAGTAAAACAGGCTGCAGAGCCAGCGCTCTTTAATATACTCTGCATAAACATAAACTGTTTTTCTATGTTTTAAAGGCCTTAGTAATTAAGAAAATATTAGCGATTTTACCTGTAGAGAATACAGGTAGAAACAGTTAAGACATTTAGAGCTGCAGTGAACTTAAGGCATGCCTCTTAAGGATATGTATCTGTGTGAGTTTCTAGAAATATACGAGATTAACAGATCTTGGTTGTTTTTCAGATGTCAAATTTAAATTTCTATCCCGTTCTGCATGTGAATGGCATTATGATGCCTGTACAAGCCCTTGTTTCAAGACATGCAGGGACCCTTTGGGAAAAACCTGTCAGGCAGTACCGAAGTAAGTATCTGTATTTTTATGGAAAAGTATGCAATTTGGGTAATATACCTATGGAGCATAATAAGAATATCAGGGACCAGATGTAGGCTCAGTATAGCAGGAGAGTGTTCTTATATAAGGAGATAAGTGAATGAGAAAACAAATGGAATACAACCTGCTGTGGCAGCTACATGAAAGTGACATTTCAGCTGTTAGGTAAACCTACTTTTTCTTTATGGCATTGCAACACCCAAAATTGTCTTCGCCTTTTCCTTCCAGTTGGAATTTTTGCTAAGCCTGGTAAAACTGGCATTTGCATTTTGGTTTGCAAAAATGTTTGGCATTTCTTAAGCAATAGCATTCACTATTGAAGCTGCAACTGTTCATTTCAGAGGCCGAGTATCACAGAGTTCATGCTTTAACTGAGATCTGAGTGAAAATGGAAGCTGTGGCAATGACATTTTGAAGAAGTGCACGGAAGTGATGAGATTTAGATAGAACAAGGCTCTCTACTTAAAAATATTTTGTAAATAAATTGTGTTTTCCTAAAATGAAATGGTTTATCTGGAAGATACTGTTCAAGTGGTTAATACTAATTGTTTTTCTTTTAGAGTGGAAGGATGCATCCCTGCCTGTCCTCTCAATATGTTGCTGGACGAAATCACTCAAAGATGCGTGTATTTTGAAGACTGTATGTTTGAGAAATTATATCTATATTATATATGATACTTAACATTAATTTCTTAGGTCCTTAGTCAAATTTTCAAATATCGGTGTTTAAATTTGTGTAATTATGACCTTAGTTATATAAATCGTGAGCTCAGTGAACATACATTTTATTTAAAATCATTTCACTCCTCAAAAATCTGAGACAAATTTTAAACTAAGAAGGATGTTCTTTCTTCATAAAACATTTCAGTAGCTTTAGATGTGGAGTAAATTATTTAATTAATTTATTTTTTAATTTGTCTATGAATTCTAGAAGTTTAGTGAATTGAGAAGATCAGAGTTACATGAATTAACATAATTTCCTTCTAGCTGTGCTAGCTTCATGACTATAATTTATTCATAAATTTCAGACTACTATTTACTTGTGTCTGATTTCAGGCATTGAACCTGCAGATGATAGTTCACCTTTGCCACCCAGCACTCAAATACCAGCAGTTTCACACATAACACCAAGTACAAGTTTGGCAGCAATGAGGGAAGTGGTAACTTCATTTCCTGTACCTGAAGCAAAGGACATTGAAACAACACTTGCTTCAGAGCTGCAACTCACTGCAGCTACAGGGAAAACTGAATTTTCAGCCGTTACATCTAATACAACACTTCCAAGAATAACTTTATCATCAAATACTTCTTCACAGTCAACAGAAATGACATCTGGGAAAACTACTACAACAATGTCTGAGACAACAAAATCTAATGTAAGCTTGTCTTCTCCTGTTGACATTTCCCCATTGTTTCCATCTAAGGTCAGTTCTGAAACTTCCACAAAGATACAACCAATCAGTAGTGGTTCCACTAAACTATTAAGGGCTACAGAACCTCAGACAGTAACTGCTAGACACGCAGTGACTACAAGCACAGAATCAGAAAGCAAACCTATTTCTCCTTTTTTTTTTACTGGGACAGCACTTACACTTAGAACAACAGAATTGCCAGTCAAAACTAAAATAATGGAAATATCAGAAATAGCCACAAGAACATTTCCCACAAAAGAAGCACAAGTAAAACCAGAAGGACTTACCACATTTACACCCAGTTCATTTGAATCAATAACAGAAAAAACTACTGTGTATCTGCCCCAGTTTCCGACACCACCACCAGTAAACCTAACAGCAACTTCAGAAGGGAAAAAAATAAGCATAGGACAGTCTTTTACCACAGTAGCCAATGTTACAGTAATATCATTTTCTCCTGTGATTACTACTTTGTTAAAACCAGCCTCTTCAGCAACAACAAAAGCAGCAATTGTTTTAACTGAACAAAGCATGAAGACTACATCTTCACCAACATCCACACCACCTGTTTCATTAGGAAAGGCAATTACAGAACCTCCTATTGAAATGGTTCAACACCTGGCTCGTACTACAGAGGTACCTTTCACTACAACTCTAGGTCCAAAGACATCAACTCTGCAAACTCAAGAGAGGTCATCAGGAACAACTTTGTTATCATTTACAACTCATAAGAAGGAAACTCCCAAAACAACATCTCATGTGGAACATACGTCAAGTTACTATGTCCCTCCATATTCACTACATCCTTGTTCTACAACTGAAAAATCCATCACTCTTTCTACAAAAAGACCTTCAATGTCTGTTCCTACTCCTGCTTCTCCAGTTTCAGGTGAGATAAAAAAAACATTTGAAACTGTTTCAACTACAAGATATCCCTCATACATACTTCTAAACACAACAGAGTTCCTCACTACATTATACACTAAATATCCTGTTGTGGCTGAGGCTATGAGAGTGACACCTTTGTCTGCTGAGGTAACATCCAAAATAACATCCCCTTTTGAATTAGCAGCAAAGTCAACTTTGTTTTCTGGAAAAACATCTACCAAATACAAGTCAACTCTGGTTTCAAGCACAGTGAAGACAAGCACTTCAGCGTATTCAGGTACTGTTACCACATCAGCAATGAAAACCTCTATCTCATCAAAAGAAGCCACCAGAGTTCCTTTCATAGCTACAGAAAGAGAGTCAGCTCAAACAACATCCATCACTGGATCTCCGCTTACTCTCTTTAGTGGAACTGAAACCACATTGTTGAAAACGCAGCCTGATACGTCACAAGTGGAAAGAATTACTAGCATCTCTACTAGAAAGCCATCTGTTTTCCCTTTTTCACCATCAAGTTCTCCAATCTCTTTAAATATTTCTCTTCCTTCACTACCCTCATATGGAAAAGAAGCATTATCGACAGCAACAACCTCTTTACATCCAAGAACAACTACAGCAAAATCTATGTTACCAACAGAAAAGACCTCTCCAGTTGTCACTTTCTCTACTTTATCCACAATAACAGAACAATTAAGTCCAATAACAATAGTATCACACAACAAATCACCAGGAAAACCCGTTTTAAATATCACTTATGCCACACTCTCCCCATCCTCTGAATTCAGCAGTCAGCTCATAACAACCAAAAAAGTAATGACAGCCAAAGAAAAATCAACTCTGTCCCCTTCTGTTTTACTTCCAGTAACAAAGTCGTCTTACACTTTCTCCACCTCTCGGTATCTAGCCGATAAATCACTTTCTTTACCTTCTTTAACACAAATGGTACTGGAAGTAACAACCACACCAAAATATCCAGTAGAAACTGCAATGAAATCTACAGTCCAAAGTACAACAGACACAGTAAAACTTCCAGCAGCTACAGCTCAGCCATCCTTTTCTCCATCTTCAGTAGGCCTCTTCTTTTGGCAGACATCTTCAGGAGATAAACTTTCAGTACAGACCACAAAGACCATGGTTATACCACATTTTTCTACTCAGAAGGCTATGGAACTTGGTAGTCAGACTTCTGAGCCTTTGTTGACAAGCCAAAGCAGTACCCCAGTTTACCAGTACCCTGCAGAAACTCAAACAAAATCCACTGTTCAGCCACAAAGTGTCTTTAGCACAACTAAAGCTACAGTAGGACTGACTTCCTCATACACCTTAATCACCTCACTACCTGAAGGCATTCATTCAAGTATATTACCTACCTCAGGAGGTCCTACACAAGTTATTTTACCAGCTGAAAAAGAGTTGCATTTAACTGATTCAGTCACGCAGCCATATGTATCGAGAACTTCTTCTGCTTTGGGGTCTACAGTACCAACTAGAACAACAGCTGGCTTGATTTTTGGCACCAGAATTCTTCCTTCCTCACCAGAAGTGCTTTCAGCTTCCTCTTCTTTAGCAACAATTAAAAAAGAAGTATTTCCTTCATTTTCCACGCAAAAGGCAGGTACTGGTCTAAAATTCACATGGCCGGCCTCATTTACTGAATCACTTGAATCAAGTCAAACACTTGAAACAACCATAGCTTCACCAGAGTCTAAGTCAACCTTGTCATCGGTTTTGTTACCAGAAACAAGAGAAATTCCTGTTGTGATGGGGAGTGAGCTGTTCACATCAATGAGCAAAAGTGGTACAGAGAAAACTGTGCTGTTGCCGAAGCAAGTCACACTTTCAACCACCACTTACAGTTCTGCATTCCTAGCAAGTACAAAGCTGTCAGCTATGGCCCATTCATCAGCTGCAGCTTCAGGCCCTGTAACGATAAGCAGTACTGGGAAAAATATTAATACTGTATCAGCAACTTCAGGCAAAGCAGAAGCAGTAACAGAATCCATCACAAGCTCTGTGAAGCCCACCTATTTCTCCGTTACTTCAGAAGCAAAAGGAGCTATGCCTCCCGATACAGTAAAATCTGAAGAGCCGGAATTAACAACAAAAGTCCAAACTGTCCATGCTCAAGGTGCTACCATTACCCCAGGAACCTCTCAGACATTTTACTCTCCATATTTCACAAACACGACTGCAGTTTTTTCTAATGTAAGCATATCACTACTGTCCACTATACGTTCATCTTCTGAACCGAAACCTTTTTCTTCTATAGCTGCGTCGTCAGCCAGTACTACTCAAACTTCAAAACTTCAAATATCATCTGAGGTGCAAACGCCTTCCTTGAGTCCACTGCTAATGATATCTGACCATCCAAATGACACAACAGCTTCCTCAGTTTCCTCATTTGTCTATTTATCTACCAAACCACTTTATGGCTTGACTACAACATTTTCTGGTGGACTGGCAACAGCTGAAGTTGTGTCAGGAGTCACAGCATCAGCTTTTATGCCACCTAGAGAAACAGCAACTCTTCAAACTTGTACAGTGAGTAACTATAAATATTTATGTTTGGTTTTGGGTATGTCTTGGTTACATTTGCATACAGATAAAAAAATTTGTGAGCCATACTTCGATCTTTAGGATTTAAAATATCTGTATGAAACAGGGAGCCCCATTATTTTCCCAATTATATCTGAAACTTTGGATGATTTCATTGTGCATAATGGTTTTTGTAAGTGCTAAAATTTATTGTGTTTCAGGCCTCAGTTTTCCGAGTGCAACTGTTACAAGAATGGGGTTTTTTGGCAAAATACGGTGCTTCATATTTTCAATGGTGGTTTTTTTGTCACGTTGCCCTCCTTAAAGCATATCTTTCTAGAGGTCCCTGTTATTATTTCTACTTGTGCCCTTCCATGCTTTTGCTTCTCAACTTCTTTTGACGTAAAGTTACAACAGGACAGTAGTTTTCAACTGTCCTCAGAATGGTTGGGTTTTCAAAGGTGCTCTTCACTTGTAGCTTCCATCAGTGTCACAGGGATTCATAAGTATTGTGTACCTGAAGAGTGTGAGCCCTGGTTTTGAGCAAATACTCTGCAATATTGTGATACTAGCTTGGTAAGAACGGTAACTTATGTCTTTTATTAAATATGCCTCAGCCAATCACAGAGAATGAGTGCATAAAACACATTTGCTTGGATGGACAACTGATCCAAGTTAATAAGTCACAGAACTGCCCATACAGTGCAACTCAACCCAGCTGTGGAGTTTTAGGATTTGCTACTCAAACGAATGGTGACAAATGCTGCCCAAAGTGGGAATGTGCATGTAAGTTTTAATTATGCAGTACTTTTGAAGTGAATTTATGTAGCAACTTAACGCATATGCAAGAAGGCTGGGAACCGATGCTTCTATATCATGGCATAGAAATAGAAGATATGTATTATGTGAGCTAGTTATTGTCTAATGCAATTTATAGTTCTAGTTCTACATCCAGGGAAATTGAATCAAAATGTCCATTTAATATAGGATATTCCTCTTACCTAGCTTTAGGTATCTGCAGTGGACACTTCTAGGTCTGAGTTAAACCCATCTTGTCATCTGTCTAATCAGAGAACACCTAGTCAATATAGTCAGTGGATTTTTTGGTTCATTTTATATCTACTTAAGGATGAGAAGATTCCTTAGACTCTGTTAACTAGGTCTGTTAACAGTTTGGGGACCCTGGAAGCATAACTGTACTGTAGTCACTACCATCAATTATCTAGAATTGGGCAGGAAGAATCCAAACCTTAAAAAAAAAAATCACTTTAGTCCATAGCAGCAATAAAAGGATGCAGAGATAAGTAATGCAAATGTCTGCTTATGCTCTAGAGTTTGAAATAACTAGGAGTAGAACTCCAAACCCTTTGAAACACAAAAGCTTTAGCAGTAAGACTGGGAAGAAGGAAACTTTCCACATGAGCTCCTGCCTTAGGAACAAGACTAGAAGGGAACTAAGAATCCAGCATCATATATTGTCGTTCACAGTTTTTACTGATTTGGGGGTTTGTAAAAATTACAAACCTTTGCTGGCAAGAACTGTAGGAAAATAACTGATTGTGGAGGTCTGCAGGTTGTCCCACTGAAATATACAGGATTTGACTCTGCTGTCCATTCACAGAGATGCAACAGTATCAAATATAGCTGAAAATATGTGCTGTGCTGCATATATGAAACTAGTAAGCTAGTTAATCTTACACAATTTATTGTTTTATCTTCACATTTTGTAGTACTTACAGAAATTATAAAATAAGAAAAAACTTTTTTGTTGTTTTTTTTTTTTAGGTCGTTGCACAATTTTCACTGATTTGAGCATTGTAACCTATGATGGAAATCATGTGGCTTTATTCAAAGCAGCATCTTATATTGTTAGTCAAACTCAAGATGAAACTATAACCATCCATATCCTTGACTGTAGAATGGTAACTAACATTTATCAGCTAATAATTCGTGTTCAGTACTGCTAATAAGATGTGTCTTCAAAGAAAGGGCGTAGTAATAGTACATAGTTGTGGTTAATTACTCCTGTGCAATATCTATGAATTTTATTTGCACTTTACAATACTTACAAATTGTATAGCACTTTATCACCTGACTCTATATGCATAGTTCCTTCTGAAATGTCTGGAAGGTAAGAGGTAGGTCCATATTGTGTTCTTCTATGTGTAAAACAGACAAGGTGGGGAGAGAGTAACTGGACGTACATTTATTAGTCACTTCTGTGAATGCCATCAAGTACCAACATAGTGTACCAGTGTATTTCAAAGCATGGTTTTTTATCTATGTTCATATGGAGAAATTTGCACTGGAAACATCAATCTTCAGATCCATAAAAGACTATGATTGTCAGACTAAATTAGACCACCCTGTGCATTCCAAGTCTCTGACAGGGGAAAATACTTACTGTTTCAGTGTGGGATGAGCGAAACCCTAATGGGTATCCTGCCTAATGGGTAGTATAGATTGGCTTTATGTCACAAAGAGTTAATTCTTGTGAGCCTTTACAAAACTCTTTAAACTCCAATCTCTTCTGTGAAAACTAGGTAATTTTGATGTCTGTATAAATGTCTATCACAAAGTTTCCTTCCTAGTAGTGCCTTATGGAAGTTGATTCCAGAAGCTCAACAGGATTGATATGAAAAAGGACATCTGCTTGTGACTTTCAGATTTGTTTTTCTGCTGTATTCTGAGCTTTTTGTTTTGTTCAGCACCTTGTAGCTCAGAAAGTATGCATATATTTCTGATCTGTTACTTCTGTACTGTAAATAAATCATATAGATTCATCGTTCTCAGTCTTATTCTTGCTCACCTTCAGATATGTTTGTGTTTTATGGTGTCCAAACAGCTAGTGGACCATATTTTTTTTTTCTGAAAACTTTTATTTCTGTTGTAATTTCAAGATTGGGTGATACAACACAGTTGCTGAACACAATGAGATCGTAATATTTTGTTTGTTTATTTTGCTAGAATGCTATCCAGATGAACTTTGTATTCCAGGCTTGAAATTGCAATCAGCAGCAGTTTTCTTCTCTTAAAAATATAACACCCAAAAATCCTTAATATCCCAGTACCTAAAAACAATAAGCAGCTGATGTATAAAGTTTTTGCACATCATGACTATGGTTGATGTCTTTTTGGTTTCTTCACAGAGTAATTCAAATTCAACTTCCTTGTGCCTGGCAATGTTGAATCTAACCTATGAATCAAACCAAATTATTATCAATCATTTAAGTAGAAAAGTAAGTATTTTGACGGTTTGTTTTTCTTTGCCTTCTAGATAGCATCTTTCTTCCATAATCAACTGCCTTCTCATGTGGATACTGAAGATTAGAGTAGGACAAAACACAGTAGGTCATATAATTCATTGTTCCAACTTTGTAATTTAGTAAACTGCTTGTAAATTCAAAGAGTCAAACTGTGATACAAGGACAGTTAATGAGTTAAGTCACAGAGCAAGGCACATAAACTGTTAGTCTCTTTAGTGCCTATATTGTCTTTGTGGAGATGAGCCTGACTTAATTTGACATTCGTTATGATGTAGATGTCCTAAGCTGTCGAGAATCTAACCTTAGTTCTTCTACCTACAACTCTTTGTACCTGACATTTAAACTCTTTTATGCATGTATTTTAGATAACAGTAAATTCAAGATTTGCTTGGCCTACTGTTAGAAAATATGGATACAAAGTCGAGGATTCAGGCTTCAAGTATGCGATTGAGACACCGTCAAAAATCAGAATTCAATGGTTTCACAACACAGGCGTGATGATTATTGATTCTAATAGTACCAGGGAACCAAGAGCTTTGGGACTATGTGGTAAGTATAGAATACTGCAAGAAATAAAGGCATGCAGATGCTTTGCTAGGGAGGCACATTTTCCTAGTTATATAAACTATCTTTTGCAGGATCTGGCCCAAAAGAGTTGTTGCAGATCATTGCAAACTTTACGATAGTATTAAAATTAAATTATTATTATTTTTGTTAATTGTTGAAATGATGTTTGATACCTATCTGTGTAATCACTTTTTATCCATAGTGTTGCTTCTGACTGTAATCTGTTTGAATCACAGGCATGATTGCTGTAACCAAACCCAAATAAGTAAGACAGGCATAAATCCGTGATGTCATACAAGGTCATTTACAGATTTAGTGTTTGATATCAATCTGATAGGAAGCGATATGTGCTATTTTCAGTTGCTAAAGGTCAGAATTCACAGGAAATGTTAACTTGAGAGAACTAATCTCAGTTTATCTGTTGGAGGAAATAGTTCAGAGGGAATTTCTTAATAGTAATGGGTTAAATAACCATCATGTTGCAGTCTGCTAGGTTTCCTTCTAAAAGCATAGCCTTGAATAAGCTGTTGGTGCTATAGCTTTTGCAAGCATTTATTTGTTGATGTAAATCCCTGCCGTGACACCTGAATCTGTAAATTTATCTGCTGTAAATTGGAGCTGGAAACCAGGGTTACAGAGTTCATATAATTACAGTGGATATCTTTCCAATTTCAGAAAGGGCAAATGCCTGTAGCTCAGTATCAAATACCAGTGATAGCTCAGTCCAGTTCCAAGTCCTGCAGACAGTAATGTGCTTCTCACGAAGGGAGAGAGTTTGAATTTACTGCCATTTTGGACTTGGATTATTATCTGTAATTTGCCCTAACTTTTGTTTTTAACATCATTCTTACTCTGTTTGGCTAGTTATTGTTGTAATTAGATCAAACAGAAACAAGAAAGTAAAGACGGTATATTTTAGTAAGCCTGATTCAAGTTGTCCTGAAAATCTCTTTTGCCTTTACCTGTTTGATTAGTGTGACAGTGAGAACTGGGAACATTTCTGGGTGGTGTTCCAAGTACAACTTCTTCAGAGCATGTATTTTTCTGGTATGCATCTCTGATCGGGATTCTCTGCATAGATCTGCCTGCGCAGTGCTGTCTGATGCAAGTTACCAGAGCCTGCTTTAAGTGGGCTGGTTGTACTACATCTTTTCAGGATAAAATAGTCTACCGTGATCTCCTGTGCTTCCTGTGTTAGCTTGCTTCTTGTATTTGAGCTTTCTCAGATGTCTTTTGGCTGAATTGCAGTATTGGTAGATGCCAATTTCTCAGCTTCATGGAAATGATAAAACTGGAAGTCACCATTACAGTTTTGTAGCAGCAAGCATCCCTTGGAAGGATCTGTGTTGGAGACAACAGTATCTTTTACAATGGAATACTGGAAAAACGTGGCAACTGGTGAAGAAATGCTATGGGAGATCAGGGATGTGGGAATGGAACATGGACATCTCTATAGCAAAACTTGTCATAGAGAGTGCAAGCATGTCAGTTTTAGCTGCAACCAGATCCTACCAAGCCATATGTGAAGTCTTAGTTTTGCTGTGTTAAGTCTCCTTGTCAATGTGTAAGAGAAGTGGTGGAAAAAGGTATCCCAGACATGACAGCAATCCTTTGAAGTCTCTCAGAACCTCCAAGTACTTCCTACTTGTGTTGCAAAGACTCACAACCTCAAAAAGTTCAACCAGAAGCATTTTTGTTCAAATAATGGTTACAGTTTCAAAAGCTGTTTTACTCTCTGAATGCCAATTGCTGTATCACTGATTGTCAATGGCTTGCTCATGTCATCAAGAATTGGTGAAAAATGGTAGACCAGATCAGTTCTTTAGAAAAGGGTTAAATCCACAAATAGTTTTTGAACAGATAAAGATTTAGAATTGCCATGCAAGTTTGTGGAGATGTCAGAAAACATTCTAGAAGTCTGATACAAAAGTCTCAGAAATTGTGATTAGGAAGAAAGAATGGGGGACTGATCCATCACTCTGCTTTTTTGTATCTGCTGTCTCCTAAAGGACCTTCCAGAGGAGACTACTGCAATACTTGGATGATCTGTGTTGACCAGAGTCACTCTCCATGTATTACTTTGTTTCCTTTGCTCCAAACCATTTCAAAATTGCCAACTACCTTAGTTTAAACAGAAACAAAACGTGATGCTGCCTGGAAGCGCCAAAAGCTGCTCTTGTGTGGTAACTCTTAAGCCAATAGATGCTTAAGACTGCTCAGAAGCATAAGTAGAATAGTACAGTATTTGTGAAGTACAGTATTAGATAAGCATCTTCGCATATCATGGGACTTTGTTTTTCTGATAATATTTACAATTTTCATTTGTTGCTATACATGGAGGTGCTTTGTAACCTTTTTCAAAATACATTTTTGTTTTGTGCTCATGGAACTGAAGGGTGAAGTTTGTGTGCCATAGCTGGGCTCTCTGAACAGCTCTTTGATATGCAGTAGATTTGCATTCATGAATGCATCTTTACTTTTGCTTTGCTTAATTTGTCTGAATTTTGTGTATTGTGATCCTATCAGAGTCTTTCTACTTCTTTTGTGGGTTGTGATAGTGTCATGTTGTATAAAGTTTTTAAAAGCTCTTTACTTGTTTGATTATGCCACTTCAGACGTACTTCAGAATGAACCATGTGGTGTTAACCTGCTTTTTTCTTCTGGCAATACACAGGTTTTTGCGATAGAAGCTTGGAAAATGACCTGATGCTACCCAACAGGACAGTTTTAAGCAAAAGCAATGCTCCATCGACTTTTATAGACAGCTGGCAAGTGCCAGACACGTTAAAGTATGTTGGAGAAGACAGGCATCAGGAAACTAATTGCTCAGTCATGGACTGCTCAGAGTGCTTAAGAATGGTGTTGAACCACACCTTCAGCAGCTGTCATCCTTATGTATGTTAACTATTTTGGAAGCTTACAGTGTGAGAGAGATGCAGTTCTGATATAGTTTTGCATACTTCATAATTTCATTAATGTGAAACTACATGTAACCACATTTGTGGAATGAGATACATTCTTGTATCTACACTTGCAAGGTAAAAATAATTGAAGAGTGTGGCAACTTGATAGGAGAGTTGCAATAAGCAACTAATGCTTTTAAAATTCATAATATATCTGTGTTAGTTTTGACAATACCATCTGATTTATAAATCAGTCCCAGCTAATTCAATTTTATCAATATGTTGTACAGCAATGTCAAATAAAATAGTTGTAGGATTTAATTAATCCTTAAGTGTTCAGTAATTCAACAGGTTCCAGTTCGCAATAGGTAATCTGAGAGCCTGCATTCTCAAAGGCTCTAGAGACAGGGATTTCCAGCTTAGAGAGATGAGAGGGTAGAACAGACCGTTTAAAGCAAAGCTAAAGCAAATAACAAACTCACAGTGTGCAAATGAAGTGTTTTTTTGTGCGCATATGAGTACATTTACCATTTCACCTTCTGTATATTGTTGAGTTTGATGAAGAGGAAGTCAAAAATAGACAAAAATAGAGAGGTAAGGAAGAATGAGGAACAGTAAGTAATTATGCATTCTATTGGAAAAACTGTATTAGGTCTTGCCTTGGCACTTAGAAGAGATGAAACTAAGGAATCTAAGGATGTCTTGTATTTTGTCAACATTCCAGAAGCTGTACTTTTAAATACTAGTAGAGTCTCTTTGTAGACCAATGAAGGCTGGTGGCCTCTTGCTTACTGTGAACCAAGAACTTTTGGCTTCATTGTTTGTAGCTGACAATTAAAAAGGTCAGTCTTTTTCCTACCTGGCAGGGTTTCTGTGAAGGTGCAATATTTTTTGTTTTTTCTTTGTTAGGTTCCACCTGAGCTATTCTGTGATATATGGGTTCAGGACACTGAGTACATTCGAAATCCATGCATTTCACTAGCTGCCTATGTGGCAATGTGCAACAAATTTAATATTTGTATAGAATGGAGGAGCTCTGATTACTGCCGTAAGTATTCTTTATGTATGCGTACCTCTAGTGTTCACAGAGACAAAGTTTGCCTAATATAAGAGTTACTGTAAGTTGAAAGTACCAGTGCTCCTCGAGTCCTCACATACTTTGGAAGTCGTTATTAAGATAATAAATTCAGCATTTTTTATGATACAATTCAAAGCAGTGTGCAAAAGGAATCAGGATCATTATAGTCATTTCACAGATGGAAAAAGTAAGCTGAAGAAACTTATTCAGAAGCCTACCTCTGGCTTATAATGTACCTAACTGTAGAAGTCAAATCTTCTCACTTGCAATGTAGTGTTCATTTCTCTTAGCCACTTGCCACCGATATAACCAAAACACAACAGAATTGATTGTGGAAAGGAGGAAGCCACAGAAAGAAAGTTCTGTGGTACTTTGAATTGGCAATGTCTGCTTGATGCTGTGTCTTTGGAGAAAGGATTGGAGAAATGAAACACCTTTGAGAGTAGATGGAAAGTAAGGAGTAAAACCTGAGAGCTAGAGTATCCTGGCAGAAGACATCTCCCGTAGCAACATACTAAAATGTAAGGTCAAGTGGGATCTGTAGTTGTCAGTAGAGAAAATAGAAAATTTGGATTACAGCTTCTCTCTATGCTGCTAATGATCGCCTAGGAAAAGCCCTATGCAGTAATAACATAGGGAGGTCTTTTGTTTCAGTGCTTGAAAAGAGAAAGACTTATTGATGAAGTGTGATCCCCAAAAGTAAGAGAACTCACTGTATGCAGAAATTATAAGTGACTTTTTTTTTTAAATGATTTAAGATGGGTGCATGTCTACAGGCATCATGCAGGCATGTACTAATGCCCTGCAAATAATAGTCATGGAGTCTAAAGATTAAAACCAGTCAATTAAAAAAATTCTTCAGTTTGTGTGGATTTTACTAGCAAATAACTGCTTAAAAAGAGATCTTACGAAATATATCTGTAAATATAGTTATGTATTCCATCTATTGTGAAGGGCCACATCACTTCCTTATTTTTATACTTCAGTGACCTCTGGTGGTGCATGCCTAGAGAGGAAAAACCATGAAGTCCCATCTGGATTCACTAAGTTCAATATGCTGTAGACTGATAATTAAAAGCCTGAGTTCCTCTATTTACAGGGCTCTAATAGATATTTCCTGTGGGGCATTATGGCCATTTTTAGTAGTGAGGAACTGAATAAAATCCACCTCTTCTCCCAGTTAACCCTTAAAGTCTAAACTGGAACCTTCTTCATTTTTGAGTAGACAGTCCCTTTGTGAACTGGACCTTGTCTCATTACCATGATTCGAGATGGTGTTGCTGTATGATTTAGGTATCATTACATGATGAAGATCATATATTTTAGTAGTTCACAGAATCGCACTGTTGGCATTTGTAGTCATTCTTATTTGCCATATTTATGCAGCTTTAATCACTGTTTTGAACCAGTGAAAGATCATGTTAACTTTTCAACAGCAAAAGAGAAATCAAAATGAGATACTTTTTTTTGTCTGTTCTTGCACCTATTACATGCCAATGAATTTACATTAGTAGAATAAAGAATGTTAAATTTAACTGCGTTCATTGACTTAAAAATAACACACACGTGCAAGAGAGTAATTACTGTGGATATCTATTAAATATAGTAATGAGTTCATCCTATTCTTTATTATTCCACACAAAACAATGCTGAATTTGCCATTACATGTGTATTTTTGTAACTGGCAAAGCTTCGCCTTTAGTAATCACTGCATTTTCTTTAGCCACTGCAAAGTATTCAGAATGATTCAGAACAGTGTATTAATCTATGTAGTTGAATTACTTTGTGTCAACACTTGCGTTTTTTGATATCTTTACTGCCAAAATGCAAACCAAAGCCTGATGAAAATGTTACTATAAGAAGAGGAGAAGTGAAAGTGCTCATAACTTCCTTTTGTTTGAATCTGTCATGTAGAAGGTAACTGGTCTGTATCGGTGGTTTTGGTTGGTAAATCCTACTGAATTGGCAAGCACAGGAAGCTGACAAGACAACAATAATGTCTTCTCTTAAGTACCGCCTCATGATTACAACTTCAGAATGAATGATTTGTTTATTTCTGTCCTAGCCTTCCCCTGCTCTGAAAACTTCTCCTATCAGGCTTGTATAGCTGCCTGTGAGGTTGCAGATAGTTGTCAGAATAATGAGGTTGCTTCTCTGGACTCCGACTCCTGCTCAGGGTTGACGGAAGGCTGCGTCTGTGCTGGAGGCACCATCCTTCACCGAGCTCACACTGCTGTCTGTATCCCTGAAGAAAAATGTGGTATGTTTGGATGCGATTTTCTTCTTTATTATCTGCAAGTTGGTGTTTAGGTACTTCATTAGTAGAAAGCTGAGTTCTGGCCTGACATTGTGTGTCTTCTGCATATGTCATTCAGTTGAGGAGTCTAGGTATTCAGTAAACATGAGCTGTACAGGTGAGCAAGCAGGGAATGCCCTTGTGACGTAGAATTTTGCTCACCTCTCAGCTAGAGGATGCTCTTCAAATTGGAAGTTTTTGCTTATGTTTCTGCATTCTAGTATTTTAAGTATGTGTTAGTCTTGGCCTCCTTTTCACCTAGCACTTTGCCAAGGGATCCAACGTAATGCTACTAAATAGCATAAAAAAGACATGCAGCAACAGTTAATTACACATTTTGAATTATACATACATACGTCCTATGTTTTCTGCCAGCATTGATATTTATTTTCATTACAGTTCTGCCTGATTACACCAAATTGTGGACCAATACTTAACACTAACAACACAAACCTGAAAGTTGCAGTTTATTATAAATCGTATTACATAAAGCACTGTAAATTAATAATAGTTTTGCTGTATGTGGAATACAAAAGTAACTTCTTTTCAGATCACTGCTTTAAAAACAGGATTGGATTGGGATTTGAAGTGAGTAGCCTTGCAGTGGAGACATGAAACGAAGTGGAGGCCCTGATCCTCTGGAGGGTATTGAGTGTTGTGCTTTCCCATACAAACTCAGTCTTAGATGGTCTCCTCTTTCCTTTTTTATGGGATGATGCGAATAGGTATTGCCTTTAAAACTCTGGGATTTTTATACTTCACAGTTCCACACCCACTGTGGAAGAAAATAGTGGTCAAAATTTGAAGTAAAAACGAATTAATTCTGTTTTCTGTTGTCCTGATCTAGCTTGTACAGACAGCTCAGGAGCACCTCATGCAGTAGGTGAGATCTGGAAAACTTCTTTGAGCGAATGCTGTATGCAAAAATGTGTTGACAGTGAGACCATTATTCCAGTGGAGTACAACTGTTCGGATACCCATAATTTAGACTGTCAGCGATTTGCAGAAGTGCCCTTACTTGTTCCTGGTGATCAGACATGTTGTCCTCAGAAGATCTGTAGTAAGTATTCCTCAACGATTATGAATACTGCCCGCTGGAATATGCAGATATTTTTTCTCTGTGGTTTGTTTTCCTGTTACATATCCTACTTTTGAAGTGAATGGAAATTGCTTCAGTTTGAACTTACAGGTTACTTAGAAAACTGTAGAAATTTTGTACTATTTGTCTCAGTATCCAGTAGGTTTTGGGGGAGAGGTAGAGGGAGGGGACAAGGGTTATAAGAACTGAAATAGCTCTGTTTATTTGGATATGAATTGTGTTTCAGCTGTACAGGCTACTGATTTATCTTTAATATCAAAATGCAAATAAATTATATAACTAATTACTAGGAAAAAAGATAAGATGATTGTTTATCTAATTTACAAAGTGAGCAGTAAAAAACGATATAAAAGCTTTTGTTTTGATCCTTATTTAGTTTAGAAAGTCCATCTTTAAAAAGAAATTGCAAGCTGTTTTCATGGTTTAACCACCTGGAATGATGTTGCTGTGAGTTTTCCACAGGAATTTTTATTGTTGTTTTTTTAAATTCTCACAAGGACTGAGCTCTAGTTTAATTTTGCCTCCATGGAGAGTGTTGCAAATGCCAGACATTTTTGAATATTGCCTCAGGTGTTTTTGCTAGTTTGTTGCCATTTTCATATGCATGTTGTTATTTGGAGATTTGGGGTATCAAACTGCAAATACTGCTTGCCACTGCTCTAATCGACTTGTAATTGCATGATAGTTTAGAAGGTTGTTTTTTGTTTTTTTCCTTTATGTAACAGTTTGTAATCAGAGCCTCTGTGAACCCCTAATCCCTGAGTGTAATGGCTTGGAAAAGCTGGTCACTTACTACAGTGAAGAATCCTGTTGTCCCAACTATGTTTGTGGTAGGTTTCTTTTGAAAAGGTAAAAAAGTTCACCCTGTAGAAGACATTCGGCAAACTAGATAGATAAATTTGAAGCAAAACAGTAGTTAGTGTAGACATCATTGTTAGTATGGCCATTTACAAAACTCTCATCCAAAACCTCAGGGTTGGTCTGTGTCTCCTTTTGAGCAGATACAATGATGAAGGAGTCTTGTGTTTAATGATCAGGAGAGAAAGTGTCTTTGCTCTCCTGTGATACAACGTAAAAGTTTTTCTAAAGTGTCTTGTATTCCTCTGCTCTACACTGCCATTGACTCTGGAGCGCAGGTAGTTTTTTCATCAGTCCTCCCAGTCAAAGGGAAGGAGTTTGAAAGCACCAGTCAAATCTGGCAAATCAATAAATGATTACAGGACTGGTGCCACAGCCAGGGCTTTGGTTACTTAAACCATGGGAATCGCTTTGAGAAACCTGGTCTGCTGGGGGCTGATGAGGTCCATCTGACAGAGAAAGGGAAAAGCTTCAGTCATAGGCTTGCTTAGCTGGTGAAGAGGGGTTTAAACTAAAGTTGCTGGGGAAGGGGAACCTTAATCCGTCTCACTGCTACCAGTTTGATGCCAGTGCCAGCAGTAGATGCCCAGAGCATGGAGAAGGATCACAGGCCAGTGGGAGAGCACCTGAAAGGCTGCACAAAGGGACTCCAGCCAGTAAACCGGCTTCATTGGGGGCCCAACTTAAATGCCTCTATGCAAATCCGTGCAGCATGGGGAATAAACAAGAGGAGTCTGAGACATGCACATGCCTGCATGGCTATGATCTTATCAGCATCACAGAGATGTAGTGGGATGGTTCCTATGACTGGAGTATTGGAATGGAAGGATACATGCTCTTTAGGAAGGACAGGCAGGGGAGATGAGGAGGGGGTATTGCCTTCTATGTGAGTGACCAGCGGGAGTTCGTGGAGCTCTGTGTGGGGATGGATGAGGAGCTGACCAAGAGCTTGTAGGTCAGGATTAAAGGCAGGCAGGGACAGGTGCCATTATAGTGGAGGTCTGCTACAGGCCACCTGACCAGGAAAAGCAAGTGGATGAGGCTCTCTATAGACACATAGAAGCAGCTTCACTTTCAAAAGCCCTGATCCTCATGGGGGACGTCAGCCACCCCTGTACCTGTTGGCAGGACAACACAGCAGGAGGTTCCTGGACTGCATTGATGATAACTTCCTTCTCCAAGTGATAGAGGAGCCCATGAGAAGAAGTGTTATGCTGGACCTTGTTCTCACCAACAAGGAGGGGCTGGTGGGGAACGTGAAGCTCAAGGGCAGCCTTGGCTGCAGTAACCAGCGACCCTTAGGGCAGCGAGGAGGGTGTACAGCAAGCTCACTGCCCTGAACTTCAGGAGAGCAGACTTTGGCCTCCTCAGGGACCTGCTTGGTAGAGTACCATGGGATAAAGGCCTGGAGGGGAGAGGGGTCAAAGAAAGCTGGTTAATATTCAAGGATCACCTCCTCCAAGTTCAGGAGCAATGCATCCCAACAAAGAAGGAAGTCAGGCAAAAATGCCAGGAGGCTTCCATGGATGAATAAGGAGCTCCTGGACAAGCTTAAACAGAAAAAGGAAGCCTACAGAGGGTGGAAACAACGACAGGTAGCCTGAGAGGAATACAGAGAAATTGTCTGAGCAACCAGCGATCAGGTTAGGAAAGCTAAAGCCCTGACAGAATTAAATCTGGCCAAGGATGGCCACGGCAACAAGAAAAGCTTCTATAGGTACATCAATGATAAAAGGAAGTCTAGGGAAAATGTGGGCCCTCTGGAAGGAAACGGGAGGTCTGGTTATCTGGGATATGGAGAAGGCTGAGGTACTCAATGATTTTTTGCCTCAGTCTTCACTGGCAAGTGCTCCAGCCACACTGCCCAAGTTGCAGGAGGCACAGGCACGGACTGGGAGAATGAGCAACCACCCACTGTAGGAGAAGATCAGGTTCGTGACCATTTAAGGAACCTGAAGGTGCATAAGTCCATGGGACCCGATGAAGTGCATCCACGGGTACTGAGGGAACTGGCAGATGTTGGTAAGCCACTATGCATCATATTTGAGAAGTTGTGGCAGTCCGATGAAGTTCCCACTGATGGGAAAAGGGGAAGCATAACCCCTATTTTTAAAAAGGGTATAAAGGAAGACCTGGGGAACTACAGGCCAGTCAGCCTCATCTCAGTGCCTGGCAAGGTCATGGAGCAGATACTCCTGGAAACGCTGCTAAGGCACATGGAAAATAAGGAGGTGATTGATGACAGCCAACATGGCTTCACTAAGGGCAAATCATGCCTGACAAATTTGGTAGCCTTCTATGATGGGATTACTGCATTGGTGGATAAAGGAAGGCCAACTGTGTCACCTACCTGGACCTGTGCAAATCATTTGACGTTGTCCCATGTGACATCCTTGTCTCTAAATTGGAGAGACGTGGATTTGACGGATGGACCACTCAATGGATAAGGAATTGGCTGGATAGTTGCGGTCAACGGCTCAATGTCCAAGTGGAGACCACTGACAAGTGGCGTTCCTCAGGGGTCAGTATTGGGACTGGTGTTGTTTAACATCTTTGTTGGCACCATGAACAGTGGGATCGAGTGCACCCTCAGCAAGTTTGCCGATGACACCAAGCTGTGTGGTGCGGTTGACACGCTGAAGGGAAGGGATGCCTTCCAGAGCGACCTTGACAGGCTTGAGAGGGTGGGCCTGTGCAAACCTCATGAAGTTAGAATAACAATAATATATTGCACTCAAATTAATATTCACCTCATTATGTCCTGGCATTTTGCAAACAAAGGTTAGCTAATTACATAAGCAGTGATCCATCTGAGACACACAGCTGTTTTTATCTGTGGTTATTCAAGTGTTTCACATGAGGTGAGCACTGCTATTCTCATTTAAAGAAGGAAGCCCAGGTATTCAAACCTGAGTGCCTGTGAAGGAGCCAAAGGGCATTAAAAGTTGCAACCAAGATGCAGCTGAGGATTCCCTTTGGGCAGAAGAATACTGAGAAGGCTCCAGGCAGACCTTATAGCAGCCTTCCAGTACCTGAAGGGGGTCTGCAGGAAGGCTGGAGTGGGACTTTTTACCAGGCCCTGTAATGACAGGACAAGGGGTAATAGCTTTGAACGAAAAGAGGGTAGATTTAGGTGAGACATAAGAAAGAACTTCTTTACAATGAGGGTGGTAAGGCACTGCTGGAGTGGGACTTTTTACCAGGCCCTGTAATGACAGGACAAGGGGTAATAGCTTTGAACGAAAAGAGGGTAGATTTAGGTGAGACATAAGAAAGAACTTCTTTACAATGAGGGTGGTAAGGCACTGGAACAGGTTGCACAGAGAAGCTGTGGCTGCCCCCTCCCTGGCAGTGTTCAAGGCCAGGGTGGACAGCGCTTTGAGCAACCTGGTCTAGTGGAAGGAGTCCCTGCCCATGGCAGGTGGGTTGAAACTAGGTGATCTTTAAGGTCCCTTGCAACCCAAACCATTCTATGATTCTGTGGTCTCTTAGGGATATAGCATAACAAAGGAGGAATGCTATACTTCATATAAATAAATATATTTGTTGTACTTTTTTTAGAATGTGATCCAGCAAAATGTGAACCAATGGAGCAGATGCCAAGCTGTCAAGACGATCAAACACTAATTGCTGCTCGAGTGGAGAGTACCTGCTGCATTTCCTATATATGTGGTAAAGTATCCTGGCTGGTTGAGGATATAAGTGTTTCTGCATATGTAATCATGTCTACTATTATCTTGCCCATTTTAGCTCTCACAACATAGTAAGGCTTGAAAGTGGTTAAAAAAATTATCATTAAGTTTACAAAACATAAGAAATGGCAACAACCATCAAGAGTCACAAAACAGCTTTGTGCAACTGAGTAGGATTCTTGGGTTATGTAGAGGAGTGGTGGTGGAGTCCCTGGGTGAGGGAGTTGAGGGCTTTTGAGAGACTGTCCATGTACAGTGTGCGGACTAGCCACATGAATATTTTGTCTGAAAGAAGACTGAAGTTATGTATGCTCTTGCTCCCTGTATCCTATTGTATCAGCTATGACCCATCTCATTTGATGCTAAATATCCTGTGTGAAAGCATTATGTAAATTTGTTCAGTTCTTTTGGAGTTTGGCCTTTAATGACTTAAGTCAATAATAAAATTGCACTTTCGGCATCAATATAGGAGTTCTGATGTTGCCATATGCTTGTCTTCTGTACAATAGTGATAATGTGGTCCTGTTGAATTTACTCTGTTTTTGCACATAGATATCTGTGAATTAAAGGCCAAGTTGTCTTGATTAGCTCTTCCATATGCAAAAATTTAAGTTTTAATAGAAAACTTGAATTACACTTCTGTCATTTACAGTAATCAGGGGGTCAGTTTGATCACGTGATAGCTATGTGCTGTGTTTGCCTCTTCTCGCTGTCCACACAGCATACTTCTGTCTCCTTTTTGATATATGAGTCTTTGCACTGTACATATTGAAAAGTACCCATTGTGGTTTTCATATGTGTTGAAGAGGGAGGGTAACACTGGGATCACAGGAGATGCCCTTTACTGGGGATAAAACATCCTATAATCCAGGCAGAGGAGCACTCCTGAAAACAACAGGATGACTTGGTAGAAGAGAGAATCCAGCCAAATTTTTTACAACAGAAAGGGAGAGAAAATCCTGTTTGTTGTGATCTGACTCAAGCAATGTATTCATTCTTTATAGCAGGGGACAAAGAAAAGGCAAGCTTCACTGAAAGTTAGCCTCTTGTATAGAGACTATAAGGAATGAATGCAGAGTATCTCTGTTCTCTTTCATATGCGTCTGTGACAAACTTATGGGCATGTTTCATAGGCAGTAGTAAAATTACTTCCTATGTTTTGGATTTAAATATTTTTTTTCTCCAGCATGCGGGGCTTGCTCTGATCAAATACCCGAATGTCAAGAAGGAGAAGTTCTTGTTGTGGATGGCAACACTACAGAGAGGTGTTGCCCTACGTACCAGTGTAGTAAGTTTGACTTGATTTTTATGTTTTGAAAAATAATGTGTCAAATTTTGTAGTGTGGATGTTCAGTGCCAGAAATGGTGGATTAGAGATACAGCTCCACTTGTGCATATAGGTAAGCAATCATCTGTAGTCCTGAGCAAATAATCTTTACTTTTAAAACTTCATGGGCCTAAAGCATTATCTGAATATCATGAAGTATCATGGAGACCAATGAGTAATTTCAGGCCCCAAATTCTGGAGATTTAAAATTGTTCTAAATATTTGGCTAGAGTAGTTGTACTCCACGCTACTATTACCTGATGGCTAATGCTTAAATTTTGATTATTAGTCTTTTCAAGTAATATGTTTTCTAAAAGTATTTATTATAAGTAGTTTACTGTCTCTTGATTCACATTTCCATTCATCAAAATATGACAACCTTGTGTTTATTGGACTTTCTTTTCCTTAATTTTAGTTTGTGAAATACATCGTTGTCCTGAATTCAAATGTATGCTAGGCATGTCTTTGGTGGAGGTGTGGAGCCCAGAGAAGTGCTGCCCCTTTCGGACATGTGGTAAAATGACTGATTTTCATTTTAGTTGCCTTAGATAATAATACACTGGCAAGAGCTTTGGCCATTTGGTTTTAAGTCTGGTTTAAGCCATCTATAGCATTGTGATCTGCTCATTAACAAATGATATAGAAAATTCATCTCATGGTGCAGAACTTCTTAATCTGCCTGTTTTGTTTTTTCTTGCTTCACAAGGGTGATAGCATACTGTAGAATTTGCCCATCCAAACTGGGTGACTTACTTGAAAATTTTGTAAAAGCTAGTAAATTATTTATGGCTAAAAAAAAAAAAAGGTTAGGTTCACAAATCAGGAATTTGCCAGTCAACAAAGACAGTAGTGTATCGTACATCTCTGTGATGCCTTACACATAATTCTCCGTTGCTTTATATTGATTGTAATGATTGTCATCACTGCAAGAAGGCTAGTAGCTAGAACGATCACTTTTTTTTAATGTGTTCAGGTGGGCTGTGGTTGATATAATGCTTTAAATTGTTGTAGTAAGTAAAGGTTGTCTTAGAAGCTGGTATGAGTTTTCTGGATGGAATTGAAATCAAACATAATTCTGGACTGCCCAGCTGGGTATATTTCAAAAACCAGCAGAACTTCTTCAGTGATTACTTGTAAATCTGGAATTTCTCTTCTCTCTGATGCTCTGCTTTAAGCAAATGGCATATAACTTTCTAAACTACTGTTTCTGATATCATATTTTGTTTTAGAATGTGCATGCGAAATGATCCCCAAACCTCAGTGCAAAGTGGTATGAAATTCAACTTCTTTGTCAGTATCTGTTTATTAATTTCTTAATAAATCTATTTATCAGTATCTTACTAATAGTTTTATCAGTGAAATATGTAATGCCATGTCATTCTCTTTTTTTGAATTGCTTTGCAATAAGATATATCTATTTTTAAGAAGGCAGTTAAGTTTAAAGATCTTGCAGAATAAAATAGCTGTACATCATTGATGTTTCTGCAGTTTTTTATGACCATATCCTGCCCGGAACTATGTGTAGAGTGGAACTGCTTTCATGCACCCGAGGATAAAATTTTATTTATAAATTGTAAAAATTAAATGCTTTAAAGCACCAGTGTTTTGTTAATATTATTTGTACTAGTCAATATATGAACATAGATCCATGCACTCGGAGCAGACTAAGCAGAAGTTTTAAACTGTATTTCATTGTGACTTACTCAGCATTACAAAAGTGCTTATTAGCATTGCTGTGTTAGGTTCTCAGTCAGTAGTGGCTTTGATTTTGCTTCTCATTATTTTATCCAGAAAATAATATTACAATGGGAAAAATTTATAGAAATTATAATTTGGAGTCCTAGGAAGGAGTTGGAAATAGTACTCTTTTTTTATAGAGGAAATTCAAAATACTTTGTAAGTGAGGTTGTTGTTAGTGCTTTCATTTCATAGATGAAGTAACTTGGCCATAAGGAATCAGGACTTGCAGAAAACCGGGAGAAAAATCTTAATATGCATACGTATAAACAATAAAAGATAAAATTAGAAAGTACATCTGTGCTACTGCAATACTATTTATATCCATAAAGTTATTCCATGATAGAATATGCTCCACGCTGCATGGAGATTTCTGTACAAAGGCAAGCCATTGCATTTCATTGTTGGCCTGCCTTAGTCTTTTCTGTCCTAAATGTCTGCTGTACTGACACCAACAACCATTCCTGTTTTTCATGTGTAAAAAAATTCCCATTAGATTATCATTACTAAATTAAATGTCCCTGTGGGCGATGAACGTGGATTCAAAATAGGTTTCTATGGCCAAAAGATACTGCTACTCAAATCCTGAAGGAAAGTGGTTTAAAAGAAAAAGATCACACAGATAAGAAAACACTGTCATTTCACTTCTCTTTTTTTCTGCTTTTATACACTTAGGGGCAGAAACTTCATATAGATGAACAATTTCAGAACAGTACAGAAAATATCTGTAACTGTGTTAAGTACAAATGTGGTAAGTCAGAAAAGAATTTAATTCAAAGAAATACCCTTTCAAGTGCTAAAGCACATTAGGAATTATAAATTGGATGTTCACTTTGAACATGGTGTTGTTGAAGAAAGAATTGGCTGACATAATTCACAAATAGTGTAAGAAAACGCAAGAAAATAGGAGCCTTCACCAAATATTTAGTTCATTATGGCCTGTCCTTGTATTTTATTAGTTCTTGCAGCAGGAGGTGTGTGCAGAGAAATAGCAGGGTTTTGGGGAAGTTGGGTGATGGTGACTAAGCAGCCTGTATATTGCTGAGCTGGCGTAAGGAAGCTAAAACACACACTTAATGTCCACGTAAAGAAAAGTCCCACTAACCTATTGTGGGACTACTCAGGAGCTGGTAGACGTGCTTATGTTCTTTCCAAGATCAAGGATAGCATTCAGCACCATGCAAATTCATCTCAGAGCATGCCCAATAGCATCTGGGAAAACTCAGGAAGAAACAATCCCTGTGGGGCACCCAGCTGGCCAGTAGAGTGGGATTGTCCTTGTCTAGATTTTTACAACAAAGATCTATACTTCTGCTGATTATCCTCTACACCCTTAGTAATCAGTGGGGAGAAACAGACATTTCTCAGGTGCATTTCTTATCTTGAAGTAGACTTATAGAACAAATCAGTTGAAGAAGCTTGCACTGTCATTTTGGTGGTGCAGCTAATAAGAGTATCATATATTTATTTAGATTTCATGAATGGTTATATCTGAAATAATTTGGTGGTTGTAGTGAAGCACTAGGCTACTATTAACAGTTTATATTTGAAAATCTGACCCATGATTCTTAAGCGGCAGAGTAGCTTTCTCCATTCCTGTTTTACTGTTTGATACATTTTTTAACACACTTTTGATACCAAGATGATTGTCCGGAGCATGCTGTTTATTTTTGTGTTTTCTTGTAGTGAGAGACAAAGTTTGCCTGAGTAATGACAGAGGTGTGCTGCTTCCTGGACAGTCAATCATGGAACACAGTGCGGATGGCATTTGCCGTATTTCTTATTGTACAAATATGATTGATCCCTCCACTAAATACTACCAAATAAACACATCTTCAATAGACTGTGCTGTAAAGTGCAAACCTGTAAGAAATTCAGAATTTTGGACATGTATATTGTGACTAGTGGTCCTAATTACATTTCCTTGGGTTTTATTGAGTAGATTAGTCATAGCAACAAGATGGAAAGCGTAACTAAGATCTCGCTCTAATGATGTGCTACTGCACTTCTGATAGAAGTTTATAAAAGTCTCACTCCCTTCACTGTTTTCTGCCCCATGTAAATCTTACACAAACTAATGTATATAGCATACTGCCACCTTGCATCCCTGTATAGCTTTATCTATATTACGCACAAATTCCTGGTAGACATTACCTTAATAAGAATTGGGAAGAGAATAATTATAAATAGAAGAAGAATACTAAATGTGGTGAAAACAGCTTTATAAAATAAGCAAATGATACCTTATCTTTTTACAAAGTATAATACAGTACCATGGGAACATTATATAAATTACTTTTTCTAATTATATACTTTCTTCTCATGTAAAAAGGTTAAAATTTCAGTGGTTCTTGAAATAAGCTGTCAGACTTACATTTGAAAATGGTCCAAAGACCAGTTCATTCTCTCAGAGTTGGAACTTCTCCCTATTTACTTCAATTAAAATCGAAGCTATTTTAAAAAAACTTCATGAATGTACAGTGTGTACAAATGTAACCTGTGCGGTTTTGAAAGTTATTTAAAACCTGTCACTAAAATCAGGTATCTGAAAAAAAATCTGCTCATTACAGTAGTAAAAAGTTGAACTGCAAGATGGTCTCATACAAGGAATAATCTATTTGATTTTGGCAGAACCAAGTCTATCAGCCTCCAAAAGATTTAACAACTTGCTGTGGTAGCTGTAAGAACTTGTCTTGCCTCCACACTTTCAGCAATGGCACAGTGTCAAATTTCAAGGTAAGTTTATACATCTTTTATTTCCCTCAAAATATTTAGAAGTAAACAAAAAAAAATTATGAGATACTGTACACACATTGCCATATACAATGTGCAAAGAGGAGCTTTATTTGGCCAAATACTAGGAATAGTTTTGCATGTACATGACATCAGTTTTTTGAAGAATCAGTCATATAGCTGTCTACAAAGATTAAGGGATTTTGATATATCAGAGAATTATTATCAACTTGACTATTTTAGAACCTGCTTAACACTATATATTTAGTGGACTTTTAAGTTCTGTACTTCAACAGAAATGTAAGATGTGTATAAATTATGTTTTGCTCTAAGTATTAATTTTGATTCAGACAAGATCACATTCAATGGAATTGTGTTTTAAATACTTATGATACTGTTTTGGCTGAGTTGCTGAGTAAAGATTCTGTTTTACAATTTTTAACAGCCTGGTACTGTTTGGATTTCAAACTGCATCAGATACGAATGCACTAACACTGCAGTAGGACCAGTTCTGGTTTCCTCTTCAGTTGGCTGCCCACCCTTTAATGAAACTGAATGTGTGAAGGTCAGTGTTCAATTCACTGTTTGCATTCCAGCTATGATTTAATGTTTGCACGAAAAGATTAATACTGACAAAAGATGGTTTTACCTCAAGAAGAGAGAAATTACAAATTCTTGCAATGCCTACATTTTTGCCTAGACATTTGAAAGGGAAAAGCTCTAACTATACACATACAGCGTGCCACCAGACTGGCCAGTTACACAGCTGGAGAGACCTGTTCTTATTTACAGATTTTTTTTTTTTTCCATAGAGGCTTGTTAATATCAAACTAGTCCTCATACAGCTGTCTGAATTCAGATGCTTTTCTGGGTTAGACTTCTCCTTTCTAGCTGATTTTCTGCATATAGCAACGTGATTCATCACAGGGGTCAAAAAATTGAAGAAAAGCAAAGATTGTCTAAGTATCAGGAAAATCTTTTCTACAGTGAGACATGAGGTTTTGTGGACTAGTTTTGCAGGAGAAGCAAAAGCTCTGTTTAAATTTGCAAAATGAGATTAGATTAAGTGCCAGGAAATGTATGCAGGGAGCAATCTTGTATTGCACTCTTTAATTCTACATTTACATGTGGATGGGAGGATACTCTCCTTAATGAATGATGGTACACAAGCAGGTAACAGTAGTAAAGGAACTAGGAAGCTGTAGTTCTTCCTTGCAGATAACAATGGATTTATTCTTTGGAGAGAGTCTCGGTTGCACAGCTGGTGAAAGGCCTTTTGGTGTTCTAGGCAAACTAAAAAAGTTAAGGCAGAGAGATAGATCATCATAGCTTGAGACACCGAGGCAGACATGAAAAATTGAACTCTCCTTTAAGGTGCTATTCTTCCCACAGTACTCTGGGGAGTGCTTCATGCCACAGCACTGAAGGCAGCCATGACTCTCCACTATGGAGAGTGGGTGCCTTCTCATTTAGATGGGATTTCTTCCTGCATTGATTTCAGAATCAGTTTTTTGTGATTGTCAGTATGGTCTCTACAAGAAGTCAGGGGTTTGTTCTAAGTAACAGATGATGGAGTGTGACTTAACACAGTCATTGTCTCTCCAAATGTGGCATTCTGATAGCTGGTGATGTATAGTCGCATTCAGTGATAACCACTTAATACGCACTTGTGTTAGAACAGTCAAGTTAGATCATTTACAGCCAAACGTTTATCCATTCACTGGAGTGCATCTGCCTGAATAACACTGCAGAGCTTCATCCGGAAGATATTTCTAATAGTGCAGATATACGGAATTAATGTTTGAAAAAATCAAGTTTTTTCCTCTTTATTTCTCTCTTGGTCAGGTTGGAGGCTACGTTGTACCATTCTTAGAAGGATGCTGCAAAACATGTAAGTGATTAATGACACTTCCTGCCTCACAAGTCTGTCTGATTCGTTGTAACCTTAGAAATAAGGTTGATTCTTTCCTGCATGAAAGCTTGATTCACTCATCTCAAAGTCTGTGCTTTTCCCAGTTTTACTCACGTGGATACCAGTGAAACTAGTGGAGATAAATCAGAAGAAAGTAGTTTAACATTGAAGGGTTTACTCCACTGATAGTAATTGTGGGTGGCCATGTCGCTAAAATTGCTACCTTGAGTAATTTGTAGTTCTCATGTAAAACTCCTCAAAATATTAGTTACTGCATTTAGTATAATAAAAGGTAGTGTGTTTTGGAAGGCACCTTAAAACATGCTTCATCTACATTCATATCTTCATATTTGGTAAAAATGAAGATTGATCTATACAGTTTGTAAGTTAATGCTGTAAATAATTAACTGACTGTAATAAAGTCTTAGGTTCCATTAATAGATGTAGTTCAGAAGCTTTCAGGCAATATCTTTTAAAAGAACTTAAAATTAAAGAAAATCCCCCTTACTTGATTACCAAGATATGTTTTGACATCTATGAGAGCTAATAAAGGTTCTCTGTAAAAAATAAAATAATTATCTAAGGAAAAATATGCTAATTCTTAATATAAATCAAGAGCTAAGTACATTTTTTTCTTAACACGCTGGTACATAGCTGAAACTTTTTGGCTGATTTCATGAAGAATTTGCCTGAGGAAGACACCTAACCTGAAAAATCTAAGCTCAAATATTTGAAGTTGACAATTATAAGCAATTGAAAATTAGATTTTATACTGGACAGTATCAGAATATCTTTAAAAAGGTGCAAAAATTTTACTTCATTTACATAAGTGGCTGGAATTGTGACCTAAAAGCTAAAGACAGTAGGAGATAAAGTGTGGGAGAGAGCTGGAGAAAAATGCAGGTTTTCCTTCTGGGGGGATGGGGCTTGAACAATCTCGACTACCAGATATGGTACTACGTGCAGTTACTGCAGCGTGGGATATATGTTGCCAGCTGGGAGGTACCTTTTGATGTTATTCTTTATGTATTACATTTTGTAGTACAAGTGGAAGATTTATCTGTTTTTTTCCTGCTCCTGATCACTGTAAGGGAATGTTAATATCTCTTCATGCTTTTTCACTCTGATGGACCTGTGTTTGTCCTAGTTCTGTAGCTGATTCTCCATAGGCTCTTTGAGGTTAGTTTTTGATTATCTGACATTACATTCAATGCCTTAGCAGCCATATGAGCCAGCTTCTGAACAAAAAATGTATTAAGGCTGTTAAAAATCCATTAAGATAGTTTTCAGCAAGGCGTAAGATCTTGCTACTATACTTAAAGAAAGAAAGATCATAACCAAACTCTTAAATAATTAAGACAAAAGCAGGTTATTAATCTGGGGCATGCATTGCACAGTCAAATTAAACCCTTGAAAAATCCAGTGATTTCTGAGATGCATTTACAAGTAGATTCATACAGTTTTGATTTCACACCTGTTTATAGACAACACAGTACCTCTATGAATTATGTAGTTCATTCTGACTCTGAAAAAATCTGGCCTGAGAGCAGTTAGTCAATTTTAATTGTGTGAGATGTTTTATGAGAAAAGTTACCAGGTTGTTGTTCTCTTTTGAAGTACTTTGCCATTAGAAACCATTGTGATTTTTGCTTTCAGTTTTAAGTGGTATTTGAAAATGAAGTCCCAGGACTTTCATCAAAACCTAGAGTGTTTTTACAAACACTGCTCAGAGGAAATTATACTTTTTCTTTCCTGTAGCCCCAAAAGACAACTTAAATTTAGGGTGCCAGATTGTATTAGTTATACCAACGTAGACAGATTCTTCCTGGTTTTGACATTAGGCTTAGCAATGCAAGTAATACCTGGACATTGTCCTGAGCTGCTTGCGCAAGGAGGTAGGACGATATGACATCCAGAGGTCCCTTCCAACCTCAGCTGTTCTGTGATCCTGTAATCTACAGACATTTTCAGGCTGAATTCTTTTCTCAAATATGCTGAAATCTAATAACTCCAGAATGTTTCATACTCATAGGGAATCCTCTGTAACATGCACTCTGTTCAATATGTAATATTCTTGCCAGGTTCTTCAGTGTCAATGTTCCTCCCATTCCCTGTTAGCCCAGTCACTCCTACAGCCTATGCTAGCTGTAACACAGGTACATTTTCCTGTAAATAAGTACAACCAACCCAAACAGCCTCATTGTTGATTTCCAACAATGTACTCCTGATAGGAGCATCAGGCATCATGTTACCCAATTATGCCAAAAGCTGCAGTGTAGTGTAACTGCTCATGGTCCCAAGTGGCTCACATTTTGGTTTTGTTTTGTTTTTCATTTTGCACTGTGTGGGCAGTGCATTGTTGTTAGCCAACAATGTACTGTTGGTAGTAAGCACTTGCGTAGTCTTTAGCTTGATGCATGTATAAAATGGCTGTGTTTAAAAATGTAAGCTAATTCCATTATGTTCACAGTGCTGTAGAACATAGCAACTAACGGCTTTGCTTGTTAAAGCTTATTATATAAACAACATTTTTGCAGATGATGTATCATATAGTTTTGCTTCCAGTGGCATACACAGTAGAAGCAGGTCATTTTTTTCCTATTCACTCTTAGGACAGTATACTGAAAATAGCAAGCCTGTGTTTACTCCATGAAAACTGGAAATTATCTTTGTTCTTTTTAGTAGAGCACGATAGTTTTTTGAATTGTAACATAGTATGAATGCAGTTGTTTTGGCATCTATTTTGTGAAAACATCTCTCTGTATTTCTGTAAGAGAAATTATGTTGACTGGAATTTTATACGTCACTCAGTGATGCATCCTTCATTAAATTACACTCATGACCCTAGAAGTACTACTCTGAAATCTATATTACTCTTTCATATTGACATCATTGTAAATGACAAAGGTGGTACGAATCAACCCAGAAACCAAGCTAGAATTTTTGACCATACAGTGAAAAAGAATCTCATTGTAACACCACAGATATAAGATGCTCACATGTTTTGTGAGATTGTTCATGGAAAAGTATGTTATGTTGTAGAACTCATTAAGAGCCACTGGAGATTAAAGTACATGCATGAAAATACATTACATATTTATTTCTTTGAGATACGATGTACTTTCACTGTAGCCTGGATGAAGCCATAACCACAGCTGCACTGAATTCTCCATCCTATACACCATGTATAATGTAAAAGAACAAAGGACGTGAATAGGACTTTGAAAACATGAAATAATGGTGAGTTTTTTATTTAAAAAAACAAATTTTTTTTCTTCATTTCTCAATTTACTTTTTCCCTAGGCAAAGATAATTCAATGATTGTCGAGCAGTAGCCAGCCATTTCTGGTTGTAGATTTTTATTTGCTTTCAAGACGATTCATTGCTGTCCTTTTCTTCATATTCCAGAAACTTCTGCTATGTCTAGAAACAGTAGTAGGATTTTATGTTTAAAAAAAAACACAACAAAAACCAAAACAAACACACAAAAAAACGCTTCTCTTTGAGAAGCAGTATTACCTGATTTAACAGTGATTAGAGCAGGGAACTGGACATTGCATATCAAGATGGAATAAACCTCTGTCACAGTTCAGTATTAGGTATTGGTCAAACCAATGAGTCTTTTATTGCTCTTGCTTTTCTGGAGCTAACAGTGTTCACCTTTTTTTCAACATCTTTGGATTTCTTGGCTGAAACTAAAATGCAGCTCTGTAAGTGGAGAGTCATGTGGGACTGCATCTCGGTGTGTAAAATCTGCTACGAAACTGTGGAAGCTGTTATAATGGAATGGACTATCCATTTCTCTTACAGATCTGCAATGTGATGTGTTTTCTTCAGCGTGGAGAGGATCATCGTAAGAAGATAATGTGCTTTGTGATCTCTAACAACTGAACTTTATTCTGAACTTCTTTGTGTTTCTTCAAATGCTCAGGATTCCCTTCTTAAGTTTAGCTCCTCATTTCATTTAATGATTTCTTTTTATCTTTATTTCATCCATATACTTTGTACATATTTCTGTAAGAAAAATTGTGGAAATAATGCTAATGAAAATGTAAATAAAATTTTTAATTTGTTCACTGGTGTTCTTTTTCTTATTTAAGAAAAACATACAGAAATGTAAACCCCCCTGAAGCCCTATTGTTCATCAGATTCTGCTGTTAAGTGTTCATTTTAAACTTAGTTTATACCATTGGAATGCAATTGCAGCTATTAAAGTTTGTTACAGTTATTTCATAGAAAATGCATTTTATGCATTATTAACAAGCCTTCTCACAGGACTGGTTGATCAATTTAAAATTTTTTTTTAAAAGACAGTACTCTTAAAAGGCTTCTGATTGAAGAATGAACCTTTTATAATAGTTATTGAAATTATACGGAAATGGATGCTTTAATGCATGAAATAGAATAGTTTTAAAAGCAATACAATATAGTGAATGTCACTTTGACAAAGTTTTGTATGTACAGTGATGTATTGGGTATTTTCTTCTTTGTGTCTCTTGACCCCATAAAGCATTCAGGAGTGTTCTTGTCTCTGAAATGTTTAGAATTTTGAGCTGATATTTTTCAATCAATGCCCATTTTGCAGGTAAGGAAGACGGAAAATTCTGTAAAAAGGTGACTGTTAGGATGACTATCCGCAAGAATGACTGCAGGAGTAACACACCAGTAAGTAAATAACTATCATGATTTCTTTTAATAGAAGGGAAAAAAGAGAAATGAAGGAAGAAAGGGAACACAAATTCCACAAGGCTATTGTCTTCATCTGTCTCTCTCGGAGACAGAGGATTCTGTGTCATAGAGCTGTTTTAGTGTTTCGCTACATTCTCAGCAATCATCTTGTCAAGTAATAAGAAAAAGGGGGGGATGTGACTTCTGCTTTTGTATGCATTTAGATGCATGATGACTGAATGCAAATCCAAGGTCTCAGTTTACCCTATAATGCAATTATTATATGCAAATAAACTTTGCTATAACTGAATCTTGCCAGTGATATACTACAGTTAAAATGCCTGCAGATGTATTTAATTTTCCATCTGTCTAGAGAAAGTATTTAAATGCCAACTTAATGAAGAAAGGAATCTTGCATCCTGAAGGTTTTTTTAGACAGCAGCATGAGCATACTGTGAAATGTGTAGGAAGAAAGAGGCACTATCTGTGTGCCTGCCAAAGGATTTACTGTAGGAGAACACCAACGGTGTCCTGCTGGGCAGTGAGGCAGTGTGAGCAGCAGCAAGGGTGCAGACAGACGTCTTGTGTGAGATGTGTAAGAGCGCCTGAAAAAGCTGTAATAAAAGACTATAGGGAAACAGCTGTGACCTCTAAAATGACTCTCAGACTATGTTTTGTGGAGTAAACTGTTGAGCAGCCAGGAAATTTAGTCTCGGTGTCTCATTGAACAGAAATGTAGATCCTGACTATTAAAATTGAAAAAATTAACAGTCTATATGGCTGTTTCTGTTACAGTCAGTATTACAGTTTTGGTGTCATTAGTAGTAATTCCCCTTGGCTTCCCAAAGGATTGATTCTTCATATTTCTCCTTACTGATACTAGTATAGCAACACTGCATCAGTGTATACGTGAAATGAATACTGTGGGGAGTTGTGGACAGAACGTAAGATTGTCACGAATAATTTAAAATTCAAAACTGAAATTGTTTCTTTGTGTCTGTTAATAGCCAAAGTCAGCTGTTACTGAAATTGACAGGAAAGTCATCATTAATCTCAGTAAGATTAAAATTGTAACCTCTCTCGGCAACATACGAGTTTATTACTCAGACATAGTGGGATTTTGTAAGCGGCTAGAGGAAATACGTCCAAATTTTTCATTGCTTTGCCATTGGATTTGGGTGCCTAATGTCTCTGGACTTTCCAGAGAGCTCCAAACTTCATTTCCTAGCTGCTTCAATTTGCTGACTATCTTCCTGTTTGTTACCAGGTGAACATCGTTTCGTGTGATGGAAAGTGCCCGTCTGCAAGCATTTACAACTACAATATCAACACATATGCAAGATTCTGCAAATGCTGCAGGGAGCTCGGACTACAGAGACGAATTGTGCAATTGTATTGCACCAGTAATTCAACCTGGGTCAGCTATTCAATCCAAGAACCTACAGATTGTTCTTGCCAATGGTCTTAAAACATAAAAGGAAAGAAAATGGCAAGACCAGCTGTTCCCAGCACAAGATAATTTGAATAGTTTATCTGCTAAAAATACAATACCCAATCTACTGAATTTTACCAGTTTAATGCTAAAAGATAAAAGAATAAAAATACTTTTGGACTCTTCTAAATTTCTGAAGAATAGCTTTACATCATTTGTATTGTGGTTTGTCTTCATGTTTGTTCATAGAGATTGCCTTAAGAGTTCTTGTGATATGTGCCAACTTAAAAGGTGAAGTGATTTCAGTTAGAGACACCTCAAGAGAAAGAACACTGTCTATGTTGTTCTGGAAAGCTGGCCCACTCTTTGTCAGGCACCCATTCTTGTTTTAAATCATTGACTGGCTTATCTGGCAGCAGTTTGCTATTTTGAATGCATTGCAATTGTGCAAATATATTCAATGTCTATTAAGAAAAATTCTTTGGACAACGTGAGAAGAATTTTCAGTTTAAATCATGTTCCTATTGCAAAGTAGAGCATGTATGAGAAATTCAATTAAAGTTTGGGGTTTTTTTTTTATCAGGGAAACATTGTCAATACTGATTACTGTATGTAATGTTCCCTGGTAATAATTTCAGGTTTTCTAGTGTACTTTATATTGTAGTGAAAAGCATTATGGCAGACATGTAATGTATGGAACAGACAGACTGTTTTTAGGCTGTCTAGATTAGTCATTAGTAGTTAATTTATCTTTCTGCTAAACAATATGACATAAACTGAAAATACACAGATTTAACAAATGAAAACCATTTTACATTCCTTTATATAGATATACCTTAAAACATTCAGTTATGAAGTGCACCATACTTAAATTGTTTCTTTAGGAGAATGAACTTTGTTTAGCAATAATTTTAAAGATGTGAAGATTCATTAGGAAAAAGAAAACCAGGATTATGTCACTGTCTAAAAGAAAAACAAAATTCAAAATCTTTGTTACCAGTATCGTAGAATGTAACTTCTTATGCCAAGTGTTTGATATTGAAAGTGTACAATTGTAGGATTTGAAATTTCAAAAGCAATTTTGTTTATGAACTTGAACAATTAACATTTTGTGGTAATGAACTACGTTTTTTTCTACTCTAAGACAATGTTGCTGTTCTATTCTTTTCCAACAAATGCCACGAAGATTCAGCAAAAATTCAGCAGCTTTCATTTTGTAGATTAAAACTGTAGATAGCACATAGTGATATGCTTGAGATCCTATATAGAAAATAGATGTCAGCATAACTTCCTAAAAAGCTGCTTGTCTGCAGTTAATCCAAAGAAAAATATGTTGTTAAAATCAATCATGTGAACATTTTGATATTAATTTTGTATACTGTACATTTCATTCTTACAATATATAATAAACAACAGGAAGTCTTATTTTGTTACAATTAATTTTGCTATCATTGTTAAAGCAGCTTACTGTCATGTGATTCAACACACAGAGTTTATTAATTTCTTTTTCAGCAGTGCACATGGGTTAACTTTAGGGTTTGCTGCTATCACTAGTACTAATTATCTAATACTACATCAAGGAAGACCAGCATATGGGTTTTTTAAAATCTGCATCTTTTTCTGATTCCATCACAGTTTGCTTGCATTCTCAGAAATGCAAAATTCAACTATAACATTTTATTCAAACAAAAGTCGGAAAACGGTTGCTCATCCAAGTAGAACAACACATTTCTGACACTAAATGTGAGATAGACTGTTTGTTCTGGAAAAACAGGGAAAAAAGAAGAGTAAATTTCTGCACATTTCCTTTCCACAACTTATTCCTAAACTGTCCCTCAGGATTGATTGCAATGAGTAGGCTCTGTTTTGAGTAAGTATAGGCATTTTATTGCAATATAGTTGTGTAGTGATGATTACCCTTCAGTACTTAGGGCCAGGTAAGTCTTTAAGATCTAACAGTAATATGTGCCATCCCTATCCATTTAGTAAGACATGTTCCTTGTTCAAAGACAACTTCCAAATAGTGAGAAAGGACAGAGTTTGGGAGGAGTGCATCCTTGGAAAACCATGGACTGAGGAACAGGAAAAAAGTGCTGTTTGCAAGACACTGAGCAAAGTCCTTGAGCCCAAGTGCCTGAACCTCAAGCTTTGGCATTTGCAAAGGTGAAGTTCACTCTCCCTTAGTGCCAGCCGGCAAATGCCATCCTAGAGGGTAAGAATTGCTAAAAAGAGCTATTTCTTTTGCTCTTGAGCAAGATGGTATTTGCTGTGAAGTGCCAAGCACTAACATGAGGGACAGAATTAGAGCAGGAATTGGGCCAGCCGCCATGCTTCCCTCACCTGTGGCATGGCCCCTCCTCTTGCCACTCAAGCTAATGGCAAAGTCCTCATTGCTTCCAGCAGCACAGGGCAGTTACTCTGAAAACAGTTTAAGACCCAAACTTTCGACTCTTGGTTGAACAGGAAGTTAATACTGGCAGTGAAAGTAGAAAGCAGACCGTAGCATATCCGGTAGTTGTAACGAAAGAGTGCTGCTGCAGTCCTACTTCAAGAATAAAATAATAAACGTTGTGTTAAGTCCCTACTTCTGATTTTGTAAACATTAGGCTTATGCTGAGAGAAACAAGGGGAAAGACCCAAGCTGCCTATGGCTTGACAGGGGAAGCTCCTTTAATCCCTAATGCTGTGTTAAATTCCTTCACAGATGCTTAGCCTGTCTGTCTGTGGTTAGTTCAAAGCAGCAGAGCCCTTGCCGTGTATTTACCTTACGCTGTGTTTGCACAAAGCAGCTCAGCTGCGAAAAGATTTTGCCTTCTTTGTACTTCCATGTCTTCAGAAACTAAAGGGACCTCAGTGAGCTGTGGGTTTCATCTGACCCTCCCGCGCAGGAGGCACTTGGACTGTAACAATAGCCGAGCCCTAGAACAAATTTACTTTCTTTTTGCTAAGAAGTTGTCTTTTCCTTGAATATATAGGTGTAATACTAACGGTATACAACACTGAAACTATGCTCTTTAAAATGCATGCGTTTTACTATCACCACCTTGTTTGTGCCTATTACCCTTAAAGTCACACACGCACTTGGAGCTAATGAAATACTGGAGCCTTCACGTAAGTTCTCATAGTGGCAAAAGTTAAATCCTGCATTCAGCACATAAAACAAGTCACTGGAGGGAAACTCACTGTCTAAATGCATTGCTGCCATGACACGCTGCGTCGTTGCAGTCTTCCCGGCTGCAGCAGTGCTCTGCGTGCAGTTCAGGGAGAAAACCCTGGCTGGATGCTCACTGAGCTCAGCCAAGATTTCATGCAGTATTTTGCAGAAGAACAGTGTTTCCTAGGGAGTTAAAAGGAAAAAAAAAGAAAACCTGGTTTTAGAAGCCAAAGAGACCTCAAGAGAAACAAAAAAGCTGCCTATCCAGCAGATACTGGGTAGTCTTTGGGGAGCCGCCTCAGCTGAGCGACTGCTGGGGCAGCAACCAGCGCGAAGGCTGGAGCAGAGACTTTGGTCCCTCACAGACACAGGGACAGGTCAGGAGAAAGCCCTCATGCTGCTGCCCTGCTGCTGCTGCCTCTCGGAAAGGAAGCCCGAAGGGGTTAAAGGGAGGCCTCCTTCCCTCCTCCAGCTGAAAAGGCAGTTTACACCAGCTTAAGCCTGTTTCTGTGGGGCCCTAAAGGTGGAGGTGGTGTCGGAGGGAATAAAAGCAGCATGGAGGGGTGGTACAAGTGTGAGGTAAGTTCTATTTTCCTGAACTAGCTCTTTGTTTTGGAAGAGAGGAATGGCTGGTTGGTGTGGGTTCTGTGGGCTGTGAAATGAGGGACAGGAGGTGTGTGGCCTTAAAGGCTCTGGTAGAAGTTCTTATCTTCCCTTTGTGCCTATCTTGGTGTGGCTGTGAGAAAGATTTGAAAAGGTAATCTTTTATTGTGTTAAAGCTGACTTCCAGGCGGTGAAAGTGGCAAAGAAAGCAATGAAAATGCTGGTGGTGTTGGAAGCCTTTGTGCTTTTGCAGCCATGTTGAATCAGCTCTTCAGCTTCTGCTGAGCATAGTGACTCTTGGCTGGAGAGCAGCCCTGCCTGTGTCTGTGAGCCTGAAACTGTGGTGATTGCCAGGGGAAAACATGGCTCCTAATGTTCTCTTGGTTTCTTGTCTTTTGCTAGCTTCAAGACCATCTGCAGAAATTGACTTTGAGAGGCTGATTAATTTAGATCAGACTCAAAAATGGTGCTCAGGTGAGCAATATGCAAACAAACAAATGGTGTTGGTGCTCTTCTGGCAGACATCTTGTGACTCAGCCCAGCTCTGCAGGGCTGAGTGTGTGGTAAACTTGTTTGTCCTGAATAAAAGAAACCAAATTTAAAAAATTCTCTTCAGAAGGTAGGTAAGAGACTGAGAAGTTTGGGGAGGGGGAAATAGGTGTATGATAAAAGTGTGCAGGGCTAGTTTTTCTCTTCTTCTTGACCTCTAACATCACAGTAACTTTTTTTTGTCTAATGTGAATGAAAATGCTGTGGGAGTGAAACCCTGATCTGCTTGAAACACAGGCCTGTTACACTTCTTTGCAAGTCTTAAAACTTTACTTCCCCCCCGAGGGCCATGTTCTCCTCATGTTTGTTTGCATATGTGGAATTTCTTCACAAAAGTGATTTTTAATATAGGTACGGAAGCATCACAGGCTTGTATCTTGTTAAAACTAGGATTTAAAATCTTTCCAAGGCTGGATTGTTTCCTATTCTTGAATAAAATATTCAGTGATTTCAGTATGGAAGCATTGCTTGTTTGTTACGGTGTTGATTGCTCATTGTTACCTCCTTTAAAAACCACTTTACTTTCATTAACTTGAGCAAGCTTTACCCAGCCGTGATTCATAGGAAGATATAAATGATTTGGCAGATGGAGCCTTGAGTATGATGGATACTGGCCATTAAGAAAGGCCTTTAAAAAGAAATATAATGATATCAATTGTGCCATCTAGACTCTCACTGTCTGGGTTATTAGTACATGATCTGGTCTCAGGATAACAGCCTCTTGAGTAAT